GTAGTTGTTTGTTGTAAGAGTCGTGTAAAGGGGGTGTGTGTGGTACATATCTTCCACGGCCCATTGATGCGTCCACAATTTCAGCTCCCCCAAAGTTGGTGGTCTAGTTACGCTTATCCTTATGGACAAATTATCATTGGGCGGAAATTACGGTACGTTATTCGTAGACATCTTACGACGGAAAAATAATACAAATGAGTTTGAACTTGTACAATAATAATAATCTTTTTAAAAAAAAGCGATTATATGTTTGTTTTTTGTACGAAATTGCGGTTAAAACTACCGTTATGCGTACAAACAGCTATTTTTACCGTGTGTGTTCAATAAATAATAAACACAATTTTTATCGTACATAAGTAGTAAAAAAAACTTTCTAGATTTTTAATTTATTTATTCGTCTAAGTAATAATGTTGCGCTAGTTACTTTAATATTTATTCGAATATCCGACTAAATTTTTTCATTCGGCGGAAAAGGGAAAGGTGCACTTTTGGCGGAAATCGGCCGTGCCCGTTTTATCAACGACGTTACTAACACACTACTGTTATAATATACATATACTTTGTACAGTATGAAATTCGCATTTGAAACGTCATTCACGTGCAACGCGAGTTCTTTTACAATAAACCGGCAGACTACAAAAAATAGTATACAGAAAGTAACGAAACCGCCAATCAAAAATGCATTTCCCGTGCGCCGAATATCGCCAAATCGTTTCACTGTAAATTCCACAACAATCACTGTACATAACAGACCTATCCCAAAATATTTTGAGCGGTAAACAGGGGTAGAGATACAAAATTAAAAATGGTTTTAAAAGCTTAAACTGTTCTATAACGATAAGAAAAGAAAAAAAACAGAAATCAAATATTTACTTAAAATCCTTCGAGATAATTGCTAGTTTATAATGAAAAAAAAAAAACCGCCTGTATTTTACCTACGGTTGGTATTATAAAATCGGTTAATGTCTTTATCATGTTTGTACTTTCATTGGCGCCGGAACCCGCGTTAAGGCCGGGCCTTGGCTTGATTTCTTTTCAGAATCAAGCGTACGGCCGCTTCGTTTTGGACAAAAGTTTGGTTGCCAATGACACGTATATATATATATACTATTCCGAAATACTATTCATCACAGAAATAAAAGACTGCGCTATAACCTCAATATCGGACACAAAATAAGGTACGTTTACTTGTTGAGGCCTCCTGAAATGTGTTTCGCCCGATTACATTGTCAGGACTCCGGCGCCACTGTTAAATAAAATAGTATACTTTAACCGATTGTGCGCTGTTAGTTTTACGATTAGCAATTGCATTGGCCTGCGCTATTAAACTTACAGGCAACAGCATTGTCTGTGTATTGGTACGTTGGCTTTTTCGGACATTTTAATTTTGAAGTCGGATTCGACGATTTTTAAATGTGTTGTAACATTTCACACATCCGTAACCCGCTTGAAAATATAGTAAAAAAAAAAAAACTAACGTACAAAAACAGATAATGTTCTTATCTTTAAGTTTGATAACATAGGCCAATGCGCTATATTTTATTAAAACCAACAACGAAAAGTCGGTTTTCATAATATACTAATAGTAAAAATATAACGATATTAACCATTACATATAATGCGACAACATGTAGCCGGTATCACCCTCAGTATCTCGATGGCTAATCAATGTATTTTCCGACAAAATTTGTTCGCAATTTAGTTTTTAAAATTTTCAAGATGGGCATTTTTTTTCGGTCATTTGTTTATAAAGCGCGCGATTCGTAGTTTGCTATAACATAACTACTATTACTGGTATTTTTATCCAAAACCAAAATCTTAATACGCTTTAAACTCTGTCGATTTCCACTCAATTTCGTATAGTACGTTTGTTTAAATTTTTTTTTAAAAAAAACTGTCTTATGATAATGATGATGGGTGCAAACACTGTTGTAGGTGAGAAGTTGAGAAAATAAGATACAGATAGGAATCTAATGTATCTCTAAGCAACGATAAACCATTGCTGACGAAAAAACAATTCTGAGCGCAGTTCAATTAATAGTGATTATTTGTCAACAATATATATGTCATATTATGGTAAAATGATTAAATAGGCGTTATACGTTTTCTTAGATAATATTTGTTTAATATTGTACCGATTTTCCCGTTTTTCCCATGATTTTTTTTCGGTTTTTCTAATTTGTTGGGACAAATTCTAGGAAAAACAATACATGACCTCCATAAAGTACCTTCCCAGTCAGATTTCCTTTCAGAAAAAGTACAATCATTTTAAATCGGAGTGAAATTGCTGGTAGAAAAAATGTACACAGTAAAAAAAAGGCGATAATATTTTTTTTACTAACACCTACATTTCGTAAATTCCCCGGTTTTCTTACGTTTTATCCTGGTTTTTCCCAGATATTTTGAAAACCGTTTGGAAAATCAAAAACGACCTCCCATAAGTACCATCTGGACAACATTACCTTTCAGAAATGACGCCGCGCGTATATATCTTAGCAAGATTTATGGTAGAATTTTCGTACACAGTAAAAAAAACAAAAAAACAAAACAAACAAACGTTTTAGTAAAACCAGTACATTTTTCGCTACACTCAGAATCTAAAATATGATCGAAAAATTGGCCGTAGGCAGAATTCAATCGATCATCATCGCCATCGCGTATCGCGCGTATTTAAGAAACTCCAAATTGGCCGACCAAAAAAAAAAATAAAAAATAAATACATTATCAAGAGAATCTCAACACGGATGTGTATACATTTCGACGAATATTCGCGACATTTACAATGAAATTTACACGTAGCTCGTTACGGCCAATTAATACGGCCAGTGGCAACGGAACACGCGTAATCTGTGCGCTTTGTACGCGATTTAAGTTTAAATCGATGTCCGCAACGGTGATGAACAAAAACCGTCAATCAATCCATCTCTATTATATTATGAAATCAAATATTTGCTATTACTCTTCGATAAACACCAAAGCTTTTTAACGCGCACGGACCGCCGTATACTAACAATAATCAAAATTAGCTCTTTTGTGCGTTTCGGCTGTGTAAATATTTTGTTAACCTGCAAACTCGTTAAATATACTTTCTGTTAACGACAAAGTTCGCGAAGCTTAGGTTTAGACCGCACGCGTTTTTTCGCCCGCTTATCGTGTTAATTTTATTCATTAACCGTTGTCCGCGCCCTTACCGACGGCGGTTGAAGTGACGGCGGGAGGATAGGCGCATTACCCTTTTATAATTTACGGTGAAATTATCGGCGCCCTTAAGTCGAAGTCTGGAGGGGAGGGGGGACGCTTTATTTTTCGTCGCCGCGGCGTTTTTAAAATACTATTTGGTTTTGTTTATAATGAATTCAGTTTAATACATTATGTATTAGATTGCACGCGCGACCAGACTAGATGGCGTTTTATTTTTATCGAGTTCCCGTACGCGTAGGATAACATTTGAGAGTAGGGGGACTGGGGCCAAGGCTGATGCATTTTGTTTTTCGAAACGTTTTTAGTACATATTTTTACCGGACGAAACGTGTGCGTGAGTGAGAAAAACGGTTTTCAGAGGTCTCTTCTTCGCCGCGGGTCTCCCGAATGTCCGATCGGTTATCTGGAATCAATTTTCGGTAAACATGGTTTAGACCCTTCGGAATTGTTCCCCCCCTCCCCCGTTTAACCACCGCTCGTCGAGGGTTTCCGCGGGGTAATTTATTTTCTGAGTCCGAACTACAACATAATATATTATGTAATTTAATACAGTGTAATGCGAGGGTTAGACCGGAAAGGGTGTGAGACGGCGATGAGTGGGGCGAGGGGGAAAGAAGACGAAGTGCGCGCCGGTCCGCGAAATAAAAATTCGAACGAAATTCGATATTACATATTTCGCAGACGCCGCGCGGCGTGATAACCGCGGGAGCGTGCCGGCGCGTCGCGACGGCACTGAGAGAGAGCGCTCGCCGTCCGCCCGTCCGTCCGCCGCGGCGCGTTCGTAGTTTGGGTCGCGGACTACCAGATGGCCTCGCCGATATTCGTCCGGCCGTAAATCGATGGAAAGAATTCGCGCGCGGACGCCAAAATCCCTCCCGCCGCCGCCGCCGCCGCACACGCGATAATAAAATATAATAATGTAAACTCCCGCAGTCGGGTCGCGGCCGGCCGCCGAGGGGAATGTACAGGATGCCGCAATTATCACGAACCGCCGCCGCCGCCGCCGTCGGCAGAGGCGACACGTACGCGCGGAGATAATTTCGAATAAAATCGTATTGTTGTTATTATTATTACCTAACCCCCCTCCCCTCCGAACGGTCTTTTTAACGTTCGATAAACCGCGTTTTCGATTTTCGAGCGACGACCAACCAGTTTGGTGACTCTCGTTCAAAATTTTCCGCCCGACAATTTCGAGGGAGCGCAATGCACATTCCGCGTATCTGTCGGTTCGACCATCCGAACTTTACACCCCCCCCCCACCTATACGCCTGGACTTGTAGACTCGTAAAACTCGTAACCGGTACTGTAAACCAGAACTTTTAACGCGCGTGGCAAAATATTGTGTTAAAGTTCTAAGGCCTTTCGAAAACACTGTCCGTAAGCCCGTCCAACAACGCCCTGGACCTTTGGTCTAGGCCACTGATAGGGCACTCACCAGTTGTGGGCCCGTGGCGTTTGCCCGCCTTGCCCGCCCGGCGTTTACGGCGCCGACACCGTGTCATTCGGCGCGACGCGTTCGCGGTACGGCCGGGGAAATATCGTTGAAAATATTCAAAACGGTACCGGCCACGGGCAGTGACGGCGCGAAGACGGTCACTCGGCGGACGATCGCGGGCGCGCGCACAAAACAATCACCCTGTAGTGGAGTATATTCGCGGGAAGACGGGCGGAGGCGGCGGCGGCGGCGAAGGCGACGGTCCTGTCGTCGGTGGGCGGACGGCAGAGGGGCGGCGGAGAGTATAACGTCGTTCGCGGGCGCCGTCTGCGGTGGCGGTGGTGGAGGTACTCTACCGGGTCCGCAGTGGAGAGTAGTAGTGAGTGTAGTAGTAGTAGTAGTAGTGATAGTCGTCGCCGTCGCCACCGCTGCCGCCGCCGACGACCGACAGGCCGAGTGCCCGACCGACAGTCGCCGTCCCACACACTGCCGGACGTTGTCGTGCGCCGTCTTCGTCGTCCCCGTCGCCGTCTCGCCGCGTCGATCCACAGTGTGCGCTCTTGTTGTTATTTGTTTGTTTTTTTTTTTTTCCATAAACACCGATTGACATTTATTGCACATCGATTCGGTAACGCGTCCGAGTTTGGTCGTCGCCTGAAATTACTCGAGTGCTCGTCCGGTATTTTTCCGTAGGGGGGGGGAGTCGGTGGCTAAACGACAATACGCACGTAATAAACAAGACGCTTATCGTACTTGACGCGCGCGCGTCCCCGGACGCATTCCGAGAAGGTAAACCGGATTTTCGCGATCGCGCGACACCGGTCCCGCAGAGGCGTCGTCGGACGACCGCGATAATCTCATACCGAACACGCCGAGAAATATTATCGGCCGGCGAACTGCAACGTGTTGTCTGTCTCCGTGTGTTTCAGGACGAATGGATTGACACGCGACATCGAAAACGCAACCGCGCCGTCCGCCGCAGCCGACATGGACAGGTAACAATAACGATAATGATTTTTTTTTGTTTACGCACTTTTTCTTTTTTCTTTTTTTTTCCTCGCACAACGACAACAATACGATCGTGTTTACTCGCAAAACGACGGTTTAAACGACGCACGCGATACGAGATTGTAGTTGGTAAGCGAGTACCGATGTCCGGTGCCTGTACCGCGGCACCGGTCGACAGGTGCGTGCCGATACGGCGGCGGCGGCGTAGCCGGGATTCGGGGGAGGGGGAGGGTTTATGAGAGCGGTCCGGGGGTTGGGAGAGGGGAGTTTGTGGCGGGTAAACGACCTTCTCCGAACATCGCGTGTAGCCGAACGACGAGGAAAAAAAAAAAAAAGGCAACCGGGGGGAGGGGGTCACATCACCCGTGTACCCCCACCCCCTCCCGCCCCTGGCCGCGCCGCTGCCCCGGGGCGCGTTGTCCGGCCGCGCCGAGTGACGGCGACACAATGTAATGGTGCCGGGTGATAAACGGCACGGTCGGTTTTTACGACCCGGGTAATCGTGAAACGCGCGTCGGACGCGTACCCCGCACGCACATCACGCGCGTACGACAATAATCACCCGCGTGTAATCCGAGTGCCCAATCACGGGCGTCTATGTCCCCCGTCGGCAATCGCGTATAACGCGACCGACGCGCGTGCACACCGCGTGCCGGGTTCCGGGCAGCGTCTCGTACGCGATTGTGATTCCCGGTACTCGCGATACGGTTTCGTGTCGGGCAGCCACCACGTATCCGCCGTGTAGGTATCCGTCGTACCCCGCGACGATTAGCGTATCCCACTCGGGTCGCCCGCACGCACCCGTTCCGAAGTATCTCGCCCGCAGGCCGAGCGAGTCGGGCGACTCCGGCGTTCTCGCCGTCTGGCCTTTCGAAACCTAAATGCATCTGTGTATAGTACGCGGACAGGTGCGCATCCGAATACGCGAAACGTAAGCGTCGAGGAGTGCCTCGTGTCGCGATACCCGGAGACGTGCTGACAAAATCGACGTGTCCCCGATGGGTACCGGCCGTTTTCGAAACGTTAGCGGCGTGTCGTATTTCGGGTTCTGAGAGGGGAGGCCGCGAGTTTTGACCGGCCCGTAATCAAAATCCGCTGGCCAACTCAGTCATCGCGATTACATTTTTTTTTTTTTTTTTATCATCTACCAACACTCTTCTTACACAATTGTATGCTTACACCGTCGTAAAAAACCCATTTTTTTTTTTTTTTTTGTTCCGAGGGACAACAATGACTAAACAATAAACACGTATGTGCAGAGTGATACTGTATGAAGACTCGTTTGAGGGGAATTTTACCGCGATCCATGTCCTGGTTTCGCTAATATGTACGTGCAGTGTGAACGTATCGTCGTAAAATCATAAAACCTAACGGCACGAATCGTGTTTTCGGGCCAAAAACCAGCCCGGCCCCGGCCCGATAGCGGCACGCCCGTGATAAGGGAGAGGGCGAACGCCTCCACTGCGGTGCTCCTACGAATGACGCCGCCGGTCCGCGTCGTTCGGCCGTGACGACCAAAGACAATATTGTCATTGTCATGCTTACGTCCAAATAACAATGATAACGATGCGGTGTGTATTTCGCATTGCGCGCCGCACGAGCGCAATGAACGCGCGCGCGCCGGTCCCCGGTCTTTCGTGACCGCCGCCGTCGGTCGGCCGTCGTGAAAGTAGCGCACGAGTCCGTCCCACGTTATAATTTTGCGCGCATTCCGGTGGATATCATACGCGTACAGTTTGTGCATTGCGTTACATTACAGTACTGCGGCCGGCGGCCGGAATCGGGCGGGAAAAACGAAAAAATTGAAAAACAGGCCGATGTTGTTGTGTGGGTGTGCCGCCATTGTTTTTAGCCCGAGAAATCGGTCTGGGGAAGAACATTACAATGTAGACGTGTTACGTGCAGAACGGTTCGACAGTCTGTCCGCGAAACCGTGGCTAACGAAAAACGATTCTGAACAGAGCACGGCTGTTCCGGCGGCGTGTTCCCCGGACGCCAATAACGAGCCTAACCCGGAAATCGAAAATCTCAAGGAAAAAAAAAAAATGCCACTTTTAAATGTACGCGGTAATGCGAGAAGAGCATATTCCCGGGGCGCCAAGGATATTCCCGCATTAAAAAATGATTTTACCCATTCGTGTGTCATAAGTTATTTGCAATCCAGACGCCTACAATGAGTGTTTCCAATGCTATAAGAGAAAAAACGCATTTACGCGCTTCTTAATAGTTAACGCGTGCGTTATACTGTGACGTTTTTATGTTGACCAACGCGCAGACGGCATTGTATATGTCGGCGTTCCGCGGGACGGTCACGCTGGTCAAAAAGTGTTCACGAATGTCGGTGTATGCATGTGGCCTTTGCGGTCATGAAGCCAGCGGCAAAAACCCTTAGAAGAAAAAAAAAAGAAATGTAATGTGCTCTATTTCACACGATAAATCGACGAGAAACGCGGGGTGAAAAGAAAATCGTAATTATGAAAAACTAGCGAGTACCGCGAGCTGCGTAATGTCGTGTCATCACACTGAAAAAAAAAAATAGACCGGCGTACTATTACACGGTATTGCCTGATACTTGTTTGCCCGGGGAGTTTTAAACTGTTCCGGGGCCGTTGCGCGGGCGAAAAATGCCGACCCCGCGTAAACAATTCGCCATCGAAAAAGACGCGCGAAAAACAACGCGATCAATTCCGGTAGAAAAGTATTGTCAACGGGCAGAACGGGGTGGGAGAGGGGTAAATAAAAATGTTAAAAACGGAGAAAAACACGCGCGCGCGTCTTTGTGAAACCGATACGTTCCTCGGCGCGCGCGTTCGGAACGGTCCACAACTACGTCTCTGCACCCGTGTCGAAAACAATAATAAAAAAAAAAAAAACCTAAAAACCCGATAACCTCGCGTGCTCGTCGATAACGATCGTCGTCGTCTTACACACGCCCGCGCCTTCTTGTATTTTATGCGACTGCCACGGTAACGGCTATACGGTACGCGGGTTGTAACGTTGTTGTTATCGTTATTATTGTTATCATACGTACGAAACCGAAATCGTACCTTTTCACGCGCGCTAACTCTGACGATAAATCGTCCCGCCATCCGTAAGCGTTCGCGGTGTAGTACGTCCGAAGACGGCGAAGACGACGGGCTTATTTATTCCGTTCGGCGAACCGTACGAGAATTTGTCGCGCAACGGTTTTTTCGTTGTCTTCCCGCCGCGTCGCCGTAGCCGTCGCGTAATACGCGTTCCGACCCGTTCGCGAACCGTGTATAACACCGCCCGCGTTGCACGCGCGTGCGCGTAACACATACTCGCGCGGATTATTTATTTATTTATCCGACAGATATATGCGTACACGCGTACGTACGAGTGTACAAATCGTTTGTACAGCGCATACATTTATGTGCGTAATGCGACGTGTACACGACGTGTTCGCGTGTACGGGGCGATTCGCCGGGCGCGCCCTCCGCGTTTTGCGCGCAATCGAATTCTGGTTTTTGGAATTTTCAACGGGTTACGTACGGGTAACTTCTGGTTAACGCCGACATTTTCGAACGCTCGCGTTTTTTTCACGACGCGTACAATGCGTATCCCTTGGCGACGCCCGCGTTAAAAAATACCCATTTGAATTGATGGCGTATCACTTTAAATACATTTCGGTGTTAAAATTTTCGATTTTCGTCCACCCTTCGACGAGATATTCCATTTTATGGTTAAGGTGGGGGGTAGAGCGTTTAGCGGAGCGCTAATAAAACGCCGCTCGCCGTGCATCCACTACTCTACCCCAGCTTAACTAAAAAGTGCGATGACGCCGAGGTGTGCTTATTAAAGTAACACTCCGTCTAATTGCGGAATTTCGAATACAGGTTCTCATTTGAAAAATCTAATGTCGGTATAGGATACTCCTTAGAAATGTTGTGAAAAATCCACTTGAATTCGGAACTATCGGCTTTAACTACACTTGAAAAATTATTAAGATCAAAATGTTAAATGTATGCGAAATTTAACCGAAAAAAAAAAAAAAACGGGGTGAGCGCGCTTAGTGAATCATCCTGTATGCACGCGGGAAATTGCGAATCCGATGTGCTTGAAAACCCTTTGAAAAATAAATTTAAAATCTCGAAAAAAATGCGTTCAAAGTTCAAAAAACAAAAAGCGAGCGAGCCGGGTAAATGTAATTACCGACGGGCGTCCCGTTGTTTTAGGAGTAAAGTCGGAAGGTGTAATTCGATTTGTGTGGAACAATAAAAGACACTTTAAGCGCGCCAACTATAGATCGATACAAGGTATGGTAAGGCAAGGTAGGTACATACTACATGCAATTTCCTATGAAGTTTTCGATTGGCGCAACATATCTGATAGACGAGTCGTTTTACAGATACAAAAAAAAAAAAAAAAAAAAACAAATGAAAAAAACACACCATAGGTAATAGAATCGATGCCAATCGTCTGTTCGCTCTGAATCTAAAATGCGATATTTTTAAAAAACCAAACTATTCCCAATAAACCGTTATTGAAAAGTATGTGTTCAATATGGACAAATCGTATTAATAAATATTATCGTTTACGAATAAAAAAAAAAAAAACACGCTTCTCTTCCCCTTCCCCGGCTATTTTCTTATGCCTCGCCCGCAAACTGTGAAATATATTAAATAAAAAAAAATATGAACTAAAACGGAAAAGGCGTGGCGTAGAAAAATCGAAAATGTCAAAATGTTGCGCAATAAAAGTTTCTGAAAACCCGAGTTCGTGTACTGGCTGTGTTATACCTTTTATTTCGCAGCCCCAAGCATCAGCTTGCTGCAGCGGATATATAAATTCCATTTACAAATTACAATGTGTTTTTTTTTTCTTACAGTAAAGTCGGCTTAAATCGAGCTGTGTACGAATGGTTTTTGTTTTTTTTTTTTTCAGTAAGTTATTTCTATGGCACTTTCTAGACGTCGGGACGGATTCCTCGAGCATAGCGCGAGCTCCTTTTTCGCTCCAAAGGTTGCGACAGAATATATTAGAATTATTAATAGAGCTTAATGGAAATTGCGACATTAAAGCGTTCGCACGCGGATCTTGTGTAAGGGGGTGGTTTCTTTTTCTTTTTTCCGTACGGCGAGATTTGTACGGCCGGCAATTCGTATTCCGAACGACCGTGTTGGTTTTTACCCCACCCCGTTTTCGCGATCCGTGACCGTATTACAGTCGCGGGGATTGCCGGGTACTTACTCATACAATACGTCATCCGCTCTAAACGAATGGTTTCATTCGACGCGTAGTCCGTCATTTTTCGCGCGTCCCGCGTCCGCGCCGATAATTCCTGCTGCCCGTCTCCCGTCGTCCCCAGGAATGGGCAAATCGAACAGTCCGCCATAAACGTTAAAATAAATATACTTCCGTCCGGAGGGGAAAAAAACCCCCCCGTGCGAATGTTTGCGTACGCACGTTATACGTACAGACCGGAAAGCACTTTGCCGGTACCTATCGTTTTGTTTTGTTTTTTTTTTTATCCGAATTTTCGACGACTTGCCGCGAGTGTATCGGAAAATGAAAAAAAAAAAAAATCCCCGCCAGGTTAATGTCCGCCTCGGTAAAACTCCCAACTCCCGTCCGCGTATAATAAAATACGTTCGGGGGAACGCCGAGTCGATTTTTTTTTTTTTTTTTTGAATAATTTATCGCCGTGTATCGCGCAGTGCCGCGTGTCGTCGACCAACCGCGACTTTGGCCAACACAAATCGGATCGCGCAGCCATTTCCTCGCTACAACGTTCTACAGTTCTACAGCTATATACTCGTATTATATTTGTGTGTGTGTTTTTTTTTTTTGTCGTTTTTTTTTTCAATTCCCGAACACGCTAAAAATCAATCGTTTTCGACGTCTCGTCTCGACTTCCGAGACGATGTTTTTGGTAACGGTTAGGTTTTTTGTCGCCCGTGTGATACGCGCGAGGCTCACACTCGCCGCCGAGACGTTTCCTCCGCTGCCCCTGCCCCTACACCTACCCCCCACCCCCNCCCCCCCCCCCCCCCCCCCCCCCACACACACACACCTCCACCTTTCCCGCCGAGTAAATGTCCCGTCCGCAGCGGGCCGCGCGCGTTTCGCGACGCGAAATTATTCGGCTTATCGAGTTCATGATATTATAATATTTATGCGTGTGCGTGTACCGCGCTGCACTACAGTGTACACAGCGTAAATTGAAAACGTGGCGAATCGAAATTCGATTAGGAAATTTTTCGTGTTTGGCGGCACGCAGAGTGAATGTTTTACCGAATAAATTTAGACGCACATACATGAAATCACCATACGACATATGAAATATTCCGTGTTTTCGGGTGTTTCGTGTACGATTACGACGATAAAAAAAATATTATGGTGTTCGCGTGCTGATATAACTGAACACGGTACGATATTATTAAGTACCTATACGTATGTACCTAATATTTTAGTTGTTATTTTTCGGAAAACCAAAAAAAAAAAAAAAATTTAAATAAAAGTCGATAAGCCTCGTATAGTCGGGAAGGGTAACGCAACCGTGCAGGGTGAATTAGTCTGACTGTATGCGCAACGATAATTTATTGCGTGCAAAAAACGATTCTGAACGGGATAGTATTAGTGTATAGTGGATACCGATGATGTATCGATATTTCGCGATTAGTTTTTTAAATTTAATAGAAATATAGAATTCGGTCATTTTTTTTAAAAATAAAGTACTACCCGGCGAAAAATCCGCGTCTTTTATGGTGCGATTCGAACCATTCCGGCGTCTTCTTACTAACCGAAAGAGCTAAACAAAATTAAAAAAGCTTCATTATCGTTATACCCAGTATGAAAATGTAGTTTGTTAAACATATTATTGTCTGCAGCAGTTTAATAGATTAAATTGCGACCTGTTCGTTAATTTTACCGAAAACTTTTTCGCCGCTAATTTCGTTCCGACCGTAAGATGGATATGAATAACTACCGATTTCAGAAAAAAAAAAACCGTTTAAAATGGCAGAAAATCGGCGTACAGAGCGCACAAATATTAAATTTTCGAACTTTCGAAATTTCGGTTCTTCTATAAGAGGACGGCACTTTAAAAAAAAAAAAATAATAATAATAATAATGTTCGTCGAAAATAATAATAATGTGTAAATAATTATGTATAAATATGTATGCATAGTTTGAATGCATTGAAAACGTATACACAAATATTATTATTAATACCCAGTTGAATATTTTAATTTTTTATTGACCTATCAGATAACTGGTTTTTTTTTTTTTTTATATAATCATTACGATTTTGTTATTACTTTCCCACGTGTTCACCATAAAACTCGGCTATATTTAGTAGCGCTAGTTTAAAGTTTAAACGGTAATGCGTGAGCAACTGGTTTAGGAATTTATTTTATTTTTTTTTTTTTCTTGTGAGTAAAATTACATTGAAATAACGTTTAAACAGTAACGCATTCGGGCGCGGTATCTCTGTAAACAGAGGTTTGAAATGATTTATATTGTTTTTGTATTTATTTGCGATTGCGGATGACGTATTGAGGATATAAATACACGTATAGAAATAAGAATCTCCTAAGAATATATATATTGGTATAAATTCTTTGTCGAATTCAGAGAATTTCTCTGGGAAAGACATTTTTTTCATTGGTTATTTGGATGTAAATTGGTACTGTACCTACATTTTATTGACAGTTATTGTATTTTTCAGTGGGAGAGGGCGAATGAAATTTTAGAGGGAGCATATTCGCCCTCTCTGAAGTGTACCTGGATTCAACACTGGGTAAATCCAGTTTTGTTTTTCTATTCCCCCCCCCCCGGGGTTTGACCTCTAGGACCATCCCGTCTTACAGCCAATTCTCCAGTTATCCATTTCCGGAATCGACTAGTTCGGTTCGCCTCTTGAAGTTCGCGCGTCCTTTTTAACTATAATCGTTATACTAGTGTAACGTATAACAGTTGTATCGTTAACTATTGTCGGATTCTGGTTTCGGCTTTTTCAAACTTTTTCGGTATCTAATAAAACGTTATTGTCCCCGCATACATGGTTTCTAGCTCTCTGTTTTTCTTTCGTCTATATACCGCAGTCCACGGGTCATTGAGTCATGTCAACTGTCCTTTATTGGTTCAACGATTTTCCGCCGTATTTTCTTTTCGAGTATTACCGGGAATCGCAATTTCTATCGCAAGACATTTTTTAATCATTCGAACGCAAATATTATTATTTGTCTTCGTCTACACATACAAAACAATATTGGGCGCGTATAGAAGAACCTCTCAGTAAACAAGTTAAATAAATAAATACCAATAATAATACTTGTCCGTCCCGTTTTGATATTTTCACTTTTCACCCGTCAAATACATTCTTTCGAGCGTAATGCGTTTTCTTTTTATTTTCCTCTATTTGTAGTCTTGTTCTATTTTTTAGATACTCTTTGACGGCCGTGTCGTTTTTGGGGGGTGGGTTGAAGGGGACTGTATACGCGGAGCTGTGTCTCGTTAAATTCAATGTCATCGCGACGACGGCAACAGATATCAGGTATTATCGTTATTATTACATTGTTGTTTGTAATGTTATTAAATGATAATCTATATTATAACAATCGCGCCATACCTTTTAACAGGGTCGGGCACCTGCGGATCGTCTGTTGTTTAGCGTTACGGTTATCTAAATAAACAACCGTGCATCGCCCATACTGCGAGCATAACGGGAAACGCGGATGCACTACCTATCGTTTTCAAAACGTCTACTGCCGACAAATTACGATATCATAATTGCTAAAGATTAATAATTATTAGGAAAAAAGCCGGACTTGTGTTTGGCGAGCCGCGGGTACTGCGCCACCCACTGCCGTGTAGAAATTCGTGGGTGGGAAGTCGGGAAGGGTTTTTCGATTGTGGCGATATTTCCGGTATGAAAAATTGTTCGCGAACAAAACAATAATACTTTTTTTTTTTTTTTTTTGTTTTTTTTCAAAAAACCTCACCTCAAAGTAAAATCAATAAATTTCTCGCCGCCCACATCGGTATCTTAAACGATATTAATATGCGCGGGTATGCGTGCAGTATGAAATCGATAATATTTCGAAAGTATATAAATATATATACGTAATGAAAAGTCGCCCGCAGTTTGACGACAAAACGCACGTTATTATTATTGTTTGTTAAATTACACATATTATGCGAGTAATTACATATTAAATTATACGGGGAAAAAAAAGTATTTAAAATACAATTCAACTGCACTTATCTATGTACACACATGCACATAATACATAATATCCGACATTGTTGTTGCGGCCGTAAATTTAAATTATTATTATTATATTCCGTCGACGAATAAAAACAATTTAATCGTGTACGTATATAATTATATTATACTTGCGGAATAATATTAACGCGACTGGCGAATCGCTTATTATTACTTATTTTCGACATGAAAATTACGAGTAAATAAGTATGACGTGCGTTTTACGGAATTTTTTTTTTTTCTGTACTCCTCTACTTTACGAATTCCATTCAAACCGGTGGGGGGAGGTGGGTCGGATGTTAATCATACGATTTTTCTGACTAAAGAGTAAAATAATTCGAATTTAAAAAAAAAAAAAAAATAATAATAATAATAACTAGTATAATAGTCGTAGAAATATGCATATAAAAGATTTACTGAAAAGGGTCAAGGAGAAGAAATAAATCTCCCTAACCCCTCCCCACTTCCTCTTAATACGCGCAAACGCTTATAATATAATTGCCGCAGTAGACTACGCCATCTCGCACTTACAAATAATCGAGAGTATTCAATTAAAAACCTTTTCCGAAATTTCAGTCCGGCTACGGCCTTGTAATTAAGTATATAGTATTATTATTGAAATTTATAGTTCTTCCCCCCCCCCCTCGAATTTGTCTGATCGCTTTCGAAGATATACAAACATAAAATCGAACGACCTATTTGGAAATTATATAAATCAATTTGTAATTAATTTGCAAAATATTGGCCCACTCTTCGAAACGATCGGACAGCGTCGGGGGGCCAACTTCGCGGACAACGCATCGTCGAGCTATACAGGCGATCGTGCGGTACGGTAAATTAAAATTTGTTTGAATTATTTTTATTATTATTATTATTATTATTACTTTTTTTTTTTCATTTTAATTTTGATAGACGCGCAAAGTGTGCCGCAACACTGCGAAATCGTGGCATATATCGTCGTAGGTACGTATACCGTATATATTAGCACAATAAATTTACACGCGATTACTACACCGGTTTCAATTATTTTCCCCTTGGGTTCAGCTGTATATCCGTAGATACGTATTCATGTTGTGTATACTTATATACCGTGTACACGTCGTAGGTGTATGTAAGTACAATAATTACCGTTCGCGTAAAACACTTCCTAACCGGCCGAATAACGTAAAAATAGAATGATTACACACCGCAATTTATTCTACACTCTACGTGTAATTATTATTATCGTATCATAATGAAACGTTTGAACCCAAGACCGTTTTGTGTCTCGCGGATATTTGTCGCGGTGTAAATGCATAAATTGACCGGCCGCGCAGATTATACGCGACCGGACAACACTGTCGGGTCGTATACGAAAGGTACTTACAGTTCGCAATTAAAAAAAAAAATAATAAATAAATAAACAAACAAACCCAACGAACAAAACTACGATTATGCGATAATGTTAAGTCGTGCATTTATTATTCCCGCGGGATTAAAAACATTTTTCGTACCTTTTTCCTGGGTTTTTTTTTTTTTTTTTTTGTACACACCGGGGAATATCGCGTGCTCGCGTCGTCCTCGTTGGCATAACACTCAAAACGAAATATCTCAAACACGACCGCTTCAATAAATCCTGCAGTGTCCCGAGTGATAATCTAAAACTCGATCGTTGAAAACCCGTAGCGGGTAGAAATAAATTACACACCCCACTTGGGAGGGGGAATGCTAGGGGATCTTATAAGCTACCCCGAGTTTAAAAAAAACCCCGATAGGCTTTTTCGTCATAACGGCTAAATATTTGCTCCGTGTATTTCATGAAATTAACGAGCAAAACAAAATACAGATTTCCTGCAGACAATGTGTAGTGTAACGAATTCGTACACGCGCAATTGTAAAATGAAACGTGTAGTTGCTTACACTGTAAGAGTCGCGTAAAGAGGGCTGTGGGGAAATGGCCCCCCGCGGGTGTTCGATGCGTCCGTAATATTTTAGCACCCCCAAAGTCGGCGGTCTAGTTGAGCGTATGGGTGCAGGAAGGGCAATGCCACGTCGTGGGTAGGTCGCGGATTTTGAAGTGTAGAAAAGTGCGGCAATACGCGCGTACGGTATGATACGAAATTATCACGGACGGCAAAATATCGTAATATCCCGTGTGTGGTTTTTCCCCGAGTCCGACTCTCGGAAAGCCGCCGGTTTTTCGGATTCCTCGTCAAATAAGGGTCGTTTCTTTGACGAGCGAGTTCTCCGGCACGAACCGGCGAAGCGGTCCCGCGACGAAGGAATGCGGCGATACAATAGGAATGTTCCGCACGTTCGACGGTTCGTTTTCCTTACGTACGTACGTACGTATGCGGGTAGGGCGATGTGGATGCGGGTAGGGCGGGCAATCTACCGCGTTCCGTCTGACGACGGGCCGTCCGCACTGTTCGGGACCGACCCGATTTCGGTCACTCTTCCGAATATTATTGTTCGATCGATTCGGTCGTACGGCGGTGGCCGGTCGGGACATCGCGACGAAGTAGTGTGGTAAAAAAAAAAACGCGCGCGCGCAAACCGCGTACGGTTATTAATTGCCGTTCCGATGCGAACTAATCGACATTTAATAACCGTCGGACTCTGTTCGTTCCGCACGCAACACGCGCGGTATCGTCGAAATACGACGATGAACCATAACCGCCCGCGGCGGGTATTAGAATTATCATCGTTACTGTTTATAATAGCGGCGAGCGGACGCCCGTCAGCAATTCCGTTTCGCGGAACTTCGGAGCGAATCCTACGCCGCCGGTGCCGCGGCGGGCCGCGTCTCGGAACCGTTCCGCTAACCAATACGACCGCGGACGTCGGACACGCGCACGCGGACGTGTCCGTAAAACGACACGGCCGGTACGTGCCGCAGTCGCCGCTAATAACGCCGCGCGCTAACGACGGCGATTATCGTTTCCTTTGTCTGCGCGGGCAAGAACGTTCGGCAGTCGGCGAGAGAAACGCGTTGACGTAACGCGGCGCGGGGATTCGTATTTTATTTTCATTCGCTTCTTGCTGCACAGACGCCGAATCCGTATTGATGAACGTCCACCAAAAAGCACTTGAAAACGTCAAAAAAGCCTCGGGAAAAATACGCAAAACGCAAACATAATATAGAGGTTTCAAAAGTCCCCGCCCCCGTACCTAACGGATTTAATTAATGACAACAGTTTTCTAACGCCACAAAAATTATTGATAAAAAATAACGATTTTATTTGAAAGAAATTATCTCGTGTTCGTCATGTTTGTGGTGTTTAGGAAATTGAATTTTATTATAAGTCGGACCCATTGGAGGGAGACTTTTAAATCTCTCTGTTTTTTTTACTATTTGAAATGATTTTCAGGGCATTTCGGACGTTTTCAAGCGTTTTTTTTGTGAATTATAAGTGAATATAAATCCGGTCTCTACCTATGACTACACAATACCGGGCTGTTGGGGCCGATATTCAGAGGTAGGTAACGGTTTATATTGTGAAATATTGAGGACGGGTACTGGTTGGCGATCCGCATCAATTTTTTGATAGGCCCCGTGGCGTGCGCAGGTCGGTGACGAAGGAAAGAACTTACGAGTCGATAGTACTATCGGTTAGTGGGCTTAATATCCATCCACGGCGTTAATAAGTATTTCACGGGTTAATCAATACGATTTTTGGCCTCTAAGCAAAAAGTTTAACTGACGTATTATACGTAAACATGCAATCGGGCACATCTAATCGCTATAATAGTTGTTGTAGACACGTATAATCTTTCGTTTATTCGAGGCTTTTACTCGTATTTAACACTAACATAGTCACGGATTTTCATCATTTCGTACGATATCCGTCGAAAATAAAATTTAACGTGTAAAATAAATCGTTCTTCTGATTCGTCTACCGTATGAAAAGTGAAAACACACTCACACACGTGTTCATTGTTCTTTGTAAAGAAATATGTAAAAAAAAAAAAAAAAGGTAACAAACCGTATACCGTATATATTCTATATAGAATGCGCGGGTAACATAATAGGACGCGCCTACGAGTAGTTGAATCCGGAATGACGATTTATTATTATTCATCGTATTTATTATATTCTACCCGAAGAAAGTTTTCGGGGGGAGGGGAGGAATTTTGACACTTCGTCGACGACGGCCGTACACCTATCTATATATTATAATAACGTGATGATATTATCATGATAATGCACGCGCGGCTTATGTACCTTGGAAATTTGTCGGGGCAGGAAAAAAAAAACCATAACTTCTATCCGAAAACGATGCGCGAAACGTTCTATAAATAATATTTGATTTATCGGAACGTGCCCCGCGAAATACCGTTATTATTCACGGGGAACGTAAAAAATAAATATCGCGCACGTTATAATAATAATAATAGTATAAAACATATTATATGCGCGCAATACGTCGTAATAATACTGCATAATGTCGCGGGGTATAATATTGAAAAACGATAAATAACGATTTCGTTCGGTTCAAAACACGTAAACGCGTATAGTAAACGACGGCTATGCCGTGTATACCTTGGGTATATGGTTGACCTACGGTACATAAAAAATGCAAAAATATAATTTAACGTAAAACGATAGTGATTGTTTGTTAGTGTTGTCCGTCCTCACAATATTGAACGGATGGCACAACGGGTTTTACGTACCCGTTTCCGCAAAAACTCAAAGACGAATATATTTAATCGATTGTCCAGACTATCACATTTATTAAAAAGATTATATAGGTATCCGGAGAGAGCGTAATAATTCGAAATCCTTTTATTGTTATAAAGTCGGCGAGTACAACCCGAGATGATGTCCAAAGTAACAAAAAAATAACAATAATAAAAAGGTTATTAGTAAATCGAGGTGGTCCGAGAGGCCTACCAAAAGTTCTCTGCAATGATCCGCAATGTCAAAAAAGTATTTTATAATATACGAACGGAAATTTCGGGATTGTCGGGATTCGGTGAACCCTGCCCCCATCCAACCCAAAGAGATCTAGAATCCGGGCCTCTTTTTTTCTTTCTTTTTTTTTTTTTTGTACTGTCCGTGTAGTCAGAACATTAGCGTCGTATCGGACGTGACAGTCGTAGACGAGTATAATTTAAATAAAATAAAATTTCTATTTCGCGTCCTACTACGTAGTATGTGCAGATATAATAGTTATCTATAATATCATTACGACCATCATAAACCTCAAACCAATTTTTCGTACAATTCCTGTTATGGCGCGGCGATTGTATTGAAGATTTCAAGACACACGGCTCTTTCTCGCCGGAAAATTATCTCATCCCCCTCTCTGCACCCGTGCCGAATTTCTAAACACGCCACTGAAACGTTTCTATATCAAGTCGTTTTTTCCCGTGCGAAACCGAGAGCACTCGAAAATCGACACAGACAAAAAAAAATGCAAAAGGTCCAAACTACGAGTGTAAACTTCCCAAGTACACTATAAAGGGCACGGCAAAATGTGCTTTAGATATTATATGGTATAGACGATTTTTCTGTTATTACGCGTTTCAAACGTAATTTAATTCCGTTTAATACATTTAAAAGTTCAACATTTAACTGAATCCGAACTTTTTACCTTGTAAAAAAAAACCCCCGTTTCGAAATTAAAAACGTTTTATTTCTGGGATTGAAAAAAAAAAAGTGGCCTCTTATTTTTTTCCTGTACTCTTCGTACCTACCGTTATGATATTTAATTTGAAATTATTTTCAACGTTTTATAAACGAAACTTCTAACCGTTGCTGTGTCGGAATGTAATATCATAATTCGTTCGCAGTGTTTGTAGTGGAAATCATTATGTTGGAACATCATGACGTTAAAGTGGCGCCCGAACGTTATTATTATTGATGATCGTGTATATAAATATAGCGGGAGTGGAGTGAGGGGAGGAGCAGAAGCCAATAATTTTATATTCTGGCATGCGTATGTTTATGAATAAAAATCGTATTTTACACCGTCTGCCAGCAGTTGAACGAGAACGCGATAATATTATTATTATTATTATTTTGTAAATATTTAAAAACGATTTAATATCGTTAACGACGACCGCGACTATCCGACGGCGGTGGTCGCAATATTCGTGGCGGTTTATTATTTATAAAACTAAACTGTTTTTTTTTTTTTTTTTAATTTATTTTATTTTAGCAGGCGATGTCGGCCTATTTTTTTATTTTTATTTTTCTATAAAGTGCAATGAAATGTGGTAAAAAGAATTAAATTGGCGTGCCGTATATTCTACAGAATATATAGCTACAGTATATTATAGAAAATGTATATAGGATAGGACAACGGACCCATAAAAATAATAACCGCGGTGCGCGTGTCAAGGTGATGCTGATGCGGGATTTGTTTCGAAAAAACGAAATACACGATAATATCATTATGTGTATGTAAGAAAAAAAATAATAATAATAGAATTCGAGAACCTAAAACATAATATAATGATAATAATGGCCGCGGTGCTTTGGCCCTTTCGAAAAAAAAAAGAGAGATTTGTATTTCTATATACCTGCAGCCTTGTTAAAATCGCTATATACCTACTGGCGAACACGATTCCTAATAATTGGATTATTTGCAGTAATTTAGACGTCGGCATGAGTAACCCGATATAGTTGGGTACCCGATTACCGTATACTGCAGAACGTAAAGCCGGCCAGTCAAAATAATATGTCAAGACCGTTAACGTCATATCATATTATTAATATGCTATGGACAACGATGTGAAAAAAAAGATACATTTATTTCGTATACGTTTCAACACACGGAACTAAGACCGATTAGGCAAATATAGTTATGGATTTTCTAAACTAAATTAAGAAAAATTAATTCGATATTAAAAGTTAGTTAATTTTAAAAATTTAGTTTAATTCGCCGTTATGTTTACTCGTGAAGTAAAAAAGATAATATTCCAGATAAGGTGGTTGGTTCCAATCCGTTCCGCAAATCAAACATATTTCTCGATTCGTTACGAGTGTGTAGATTTTCAAATAGTTTTTACGGTAAAATAGGCATTTTTTTTTTTTTTCTTGGAATTTACAACAAATTTTTTTTGTGCGTTTTTAGAGACGTTTAGGTGTCAACTCGAAACACATTTCATGAGATACGTGTCTGACGTTACACAAAACTGTTCCGAAACGATCGGGTTCATCGTAAATTAATATACGACATTATTATTATAATGATGCTCATGGGACGTGTACCAAGGCCCATCATAATACAATATGTACCTAGCACAATGGTGTAGTACACAGACCTACGCGCCAGCGTCTGCAGTTTTATTAATATTGTTAAAAAACGAATATACGTAGGCGGGATATGTATATGCTTGATGAAATTAGTATGTAAATTGCATTTCCAAACAACAGCTGCAATAAACGAATAACGACAAACAATAATAATATTAAAATATTAGTTTGCAAAAAAAAGTTTGCAATTTTAAATATATTTTTATACGATTATCAGCTATTATTGGCTATTATGTAAGTGTATACTGTACAGTAATTTGTTATAACATTTGTTTTTTTCTGTTTTGTTAATTAATTAATAATTAACTTCTATTGTAAATTATAAATTGATAAGAACTGCGCTTCCAGCACAAGCACATGGCGAATAGAGAGTGCCGCGGTATTAAAAAAAAAAAAAAATTGTCAAATTATGCGTAGATTATTTTATTGTTGCAATAAAGTTATTATTGTTATTAAATTGAATTGTTGTATTTTTCGTACCAATAACAAATAAACACGCGATATGAAATAATACTCGTTGTAATAGTATATGCACTATATATATATATATATGTATTATTTAAATTCGCTATTGTTTATCGAATACTCAAACGGCGGTTCATTTAAGGGGAAATGGGATGAACTCATACATTTACCTCATTTGGACATGATGTTTTATGTACGTGTATTTTTTAAGCCTGTATAATATGACGACCTATTATTTCGGTTGGCAAACGCAATAAAAGTCGAATAACCGGTTTACTGTACAAATCGCTATAAATGCAGAAAGGAAACACGTGTTCAAATTTCAAAAGAAAGACAATATACCTCCTTAAACGCCTAGAATTGTATGATATTTCACAAAACGACTGTGGAAACTTATCTTCAGATATCCGAGGAGTTTTTGCCGGGTTTCCTAGACTCGTTATGCATGGTAACAAGTGCATCATGTAAAAACATTCAGTGTCTTCGTTATTCGCCACATTCCCGTGAATTGTCCGTAAATTTGACACGATGATCAAAACCAATTTCATACCCGCGACGCGATAACCATTTTCCGTTTACCTATCAGAGATTCTTATTCCCGAGGAAGAACAGCCACTTCATTAGCGTTGAAACTCAATTCCGTTTGTGAAAAGTAGGTAACGACTATTCGTGTTAATTGACGAGTATTTGCTTATACCCTAGAAAATTCGCATTCAGCAGGGTCGACAATGTTCCGTTAGTTTTAATATCAGAGTGTTGCCGAACTTAAAGATAAGATCATAATTTATGCAACGTCGTTTATATCTGCGATATTAAAACTTACAGCATCTAATGGTATTGACCATGTTAAGAATAAAGATTCTTAACAGGTAATTTGTTTTTAAATTTTTTCAGAAATAGTAAGTTTTCTCGTATTTCTTAGAAAATTTTAAAATTTGAACATGTTCTTTTTCTGCGTTTCTCGATTCTTATACGTCATGCCTATCTATTCTCAACGTTTTCGTATTTAAATCTTGAAAACGTAACAATAATAATAATATTATTATTATTATTTTAATGACATTATAATGCGCGTTGCGATTTTTCGCGACATCGACGAGAACTGCATAAAGTATCAAGGGGTTTGTCGCGTTACAGAATTCAATACCTATACACAACAAACCGATTTCGCTATTATATTGTGATAATAATGGAAAATATGCGCGCAGTGATATTTCATGAAAATCACGTTCGACTTTCTTTCGCAACCCACAGTGTAGTTGACCCACAGTAAATACTCGTCTACTATAAAAAAAAAAACCGTATTAATCGCGCGGGTCCGTTAGAAAAACGTGATATTCATAATGTTATTGTTATTTTTATTATTCTATGTGAAAATAGTACGGCGCCAGAAGACGGTGTTCCATAATTAAAAACACTATACGTAACTTTTCGGGACGAGTTTCTAGAAAGCGCTTTGTTTAGACAATTATATTTTCCCGGTATACGATTACTAAAAACAACCGAATCCAAACGCTTTAAACGACAATACGAGGGACATCGCACCCTTCAAACGACCCGTGTTCGATGCTGTAGTGTCGTAACAAACTGTAACAATCCAATCACTAGTCATCCAATCTATTTATAATTGAAAAACGTTTTTAGCTTGTTCTTCTCCTGTTCCGACCGATAATTGAACAACCCCTAGACGAAATTTATCGGTAACGGCAGTATTTCCACCAAATCTTTACCGGTTAATGACATTGTCTCATCCCAACGCACAACCGATTCTTTGAATAAACATTATTAAAACTTAAGCGTAGTTGTTCTGCTCGTAATTATCATACATTTTCGCGAACTCGGTGAATCGAGGAACGATTGGTTTATTACCAAATCATCAACATTATCTCTTAGCTTCTAATCCCTAGCCATTAATATACGAGTTGTATCTCGATTGTTTACCATGCGTCTATTCAAACCAGTAACTAGTTTATCGTAGCTGAATTGTGTTCTTGCTCGTTTATTAGTTGCTCGCTTGATAGGTTACTTCGCAGCTTTCTGCAAGAACAGAGTTGTTGAAACATTGGATTAACTCGCAGTCTTCAGAAAAATGTTCTTCTGTATAAATTGTAAAATATAGCTCCACGGATTCAACTTAAAATTGAATGATAATTTTATATTAAGTACTTGAAAAAGTATAAGTATTATACAATAAACTATAAAAAACACAAAATACAAAATATTTACAATTAGATTTTATTTTATTTAACTTCTTTTACTTTCAGATTCTTCTAAATGTTTGAAACGTTTAATTTCCTTTTTTTTTTTGATTAATCAAATCGGCACCCATTAATCATCCTGGATGATACTTTTATCTCCGACTTATTAAAATTGATTTGTCTAAGTCAGTTTTCATTATATCAAATGCATTTGCCGGATCAATATCGCAAAGTTTTTTAAATCATTGTTTAAACTCATTTTCATTTTTAATTTGAATTCACCGACTCCAATTTGTCTGTAAATTTCGCCATGTACAATTCTTCTGATTTTGGTACACAATTACGATTCTCCCTAGTAGGTATTTGGATTTTTAGCCAAAATATTAATATTTCGTTAACAACTAACCGCGCGCACTTCGCGTAAACTTAATTCGGACTATCGAATGTTAAAAAATAAGACCGATAAAATGTGTTTATTTAGTAGCAACTTGCATCCTACAAGTAGATAAGAACTAGTTCTAATTAAGTAAACGTGTTTACATAGGTTTATTTTAATTCCATTTTTAAAATTTAAATTAAATTACAAAACAGCTCTACGGACTACACCGACGGTCACGATCAACGTCATGACGTGTTTGCAGCCAAAAAAAAAAAAAACGTTAATGTATGAAAAAACAATTTTAGGTGAGATTCAAGTAGGTACCTAAATTCAAATCGCCTAAGGTTAGTTATGCCTAAACCATTGTTGTATATATAGTATGACCACACTGTCACAGAGTTATTCTGATATAATGTATAGTATTATATTATTCTATGATATGGTTATACTATGGGATTTTGAGATTAACCAAGATAACGATTTGTTTTGAACCGTCTATAAATTTTATATTTTCGTTATCTGACTATTTGTTCTTATAATTTCTATAGCGAAATACCGGTCCTGATAAATACGGTTTTATCGATATTATTTTATTGATTTATATTATCTACAGAGTTGAAATAATCGTCGGAAATATCTTTTGGTCATAATATGATTTCCATATAAATATAACATTTTTTCTGAATATGAAATTACCATTCCATACAAATAACACTCCCGAATATTATTTTTCTGTTGAATATTTTCCCTGATTTATATACCCTCGATATTACATTTTGGACGACTATTGATTTGCGGTGGTCGAAATTAGACCGGATATTAAAATATTGCGGTCGGAGCGGGCCCAGATAGGAAACGAATCGTCTGCAGAGCTCGGAAATCGGAATAAAGCCGACCAATTTGTTCTTATTCAATATTTTATTCATTAATTTCCTATTTGCCCGAGGAAATTAATATTATAGCTATGGGCAAAGTTCGAGGTGGGTAAGTAACTTGGAGGAGCTTAGCACCTCATCCGAAACGCAAGAACCGTTTTCCGTAGCAATGAGGAAGATTAAGGAAATTGCAGGATCAGAACTTATATATAGAACGATATATTTACAAATAGATTAATAATAATTTGTATGTTTAACGAATAATAATTATCTGACGAACAAATCTTGAACAAATATTGGTAATTTCGGATCGCCAGTTACAATATTTTAACAATAAGATGATATTATTATAGTGATCTAAATGTTGTTATTTGTTTTCGTGAAAATATTTTTCATTTCAATAATGGACGTATTATAATATTGAAAATTTAAATGTATGAAAGATTGGATAAAAATGATAAATATTTATTATGTAATAATTGCATAATGCAATAGAAGCATTCGATACATGGGCTGTCTGAAACCCCCGATGGTCTATTTTATTTAAATAGTGACGATCCTTCCGAGTGAAAAACTGAAATTGCGCATACTATTAGGAATAAATATACAGACTGTACCTATTATGCAGTTTACTGATTTAAGAAAATAAAAACACATTTTAGTTTCGTGTTTTTCTTCCAACTTAAAGTTGGTGGTTTTAGTTGGACACATTTTTTTGGGAGAAAGGGATTTATAATTTTGAGACGTCTGTTAGCAAGTTTTCGCCAAGGAGACTCATTCTAATAGGAAATTTCATATATGAGTGAGTTTTCTTGTTACGTTTTGGCTTATTTTTCAGGCATATTTCTTATAAGTATTATTGGAGTAAAACCGAGAAAAATGGGAATGCATACTTACTTTGTTTCAAGTTACTTATAGGTTATATTTGACATTTTTTCAGTTTTTTTTTTCTTTTTAGCTGGGAGTAATTTTAAATTTTAATATCATGACAAACAATTCGTGATTGATATTAAACATAATGATTTGTTTATCGTTAAATACTCATTATTTCAAAAAGTATAATAACTTTATCAAAAAAATTTTTTTTATGAAAATTTACTAAATAAGCAGCTCTAATATGTTGCATTACCATTATTTTTTGTCACACTTATTTTTAGGTACAAAAAAAAACTGCCCGCTAGGGATTTTCAACCTAGATATATTATAAATTCCACAAATAGACGAATAAAAATAAAAATATATTTCGGTGTTGATATTTTTGATTTCCGACAATCCATTGACGGGATACTCCATTTTCTAGTTTGGATAGGGCGAGGGGTGCACTATTATAACGTTGCACCCCACGCTGTGCAGCCACACAAACGATGCTCCACTACCCCCTCTCTACTCAAACTTAGAATTAAAATATCTCGTCGGCGGGATCGACGTAAATAAAAAATGTCAACGCCGAAAATGTATTCAAACTAATATTCTGAATTTATTGAATTTTTAAATAAACATTTATTAGATTGTCACCGTTGGACAATCGAAAGTAAGCAGCCTTCCCAATAATAAGGGCGAAAAAAATTAAATGGTATCGTGCAATTTCAGTGCCGCTCATTTTCGAAGTTGTCAAGAAAGAAAAATGTCGAAAAAAGTCGATACTCTTAAAAATATAACCGGGTAGCGTTCGACGGCAAAATAATAAAAGAATCGCTCTGTACACGGGTAGTCGGTTAATACGCACTTGCGGCCGAACGCGATGTTTGACCGACTGACACTGACCGGAATGACCGGTACACCGGAACGAAATTTCGCTCCGCGAAATCGCAGCGGTGGCGGTGACGACGGCGACGGACAAAGAACGCGCGAGCGCGAATGCGTGTGTGTGTGTGTATGTGTGGAACACAATGGCCTGTGACTGATGCGTTTCGTTTCAATATCTGCGGACGCTTCGGATCGCCGACCGCGGGGCACAGCGCGCGCCAAGAATACTCCGCTACACCGCGGAAATATATTACGCGGACGCTTCCTCCTCCTCCTCCAAGCGCGGGTTCGAATCCATTCCTCGTCGCCATTTGTCGTGTTCCGGTAGTAATCGCGACCCGATGTATTTTGTTTTATTTCTCGTTTATTTTACGTACGTACACACAGGACCGTTTCAAACGGCGATTGTGATGGGGGGGAGGGGGTAACGGAGGCATTCGCTCCGGGGTGCTAAACATTTGTAAAACTACGGGGCTCCCGGCTATTGTTATAACCATCCCCCTTGTTATTTGTTTTATTAAAAATAAAATGTAAAACGGTAAAATGTTGACATTTTAATATGAATTTTATAAAAATGTAAAAATAAAAAACAACAAATTTGAAGAGTTAACCCCACAAATAATCCCCAGGTATGACCTTAAGAAGGGTCGTTTAAAATTTGATGCCCCTGGTCGCCAAATGGCTTAACACGGTTCTATACATACATACATTACTGGCGGTCCGAGGTATAGATATGAGTTACGAAAACAAAACATTACAATACTAAGGTCTGTAACAGCGATATATTCGAAATTATAACATGCGAAAACGTTAAAGGCTAGTGGTGTTCTCATGTGCTAAACGTATCGTGCGGTGGTTAGGATGGTTACGGCTATAGTTGATGGTGCGATGGAGAGGTACGTAGAAAGGAGTGAGTCGTCTGTTAGATTTACCGGAAATCCTAAAATTAACCTCTGTTAGTAGTTCGAGTGCATCAGTAGAACCATTAATACGCTTGATGAGGAAATCGATGTCGGCTAACATTGTCCGGTCGGATAAACCAATACACTTTAAGTGGCGTAAGACTAGGGATATGTATATGCATACCTATATCCGCAGGTTATACAATTAGACAAATAGCGTCTCAAAACATAATCGATTATAATTTGACACCCCTCACAAAAATATAATTTAAAAAAATCGTACCGAATTTAATCACATTAGATTATAATATAATGTAATTTAGTTTGAAATAAATTAATAGCGAATGTAAAAATTACTTGAATTTAAGTATGTATTTAATATTTACGGAATAATTTTGGGGGCCTATATGAAGTAGCCGACTATGCAGTGACATACCCTGTATACCCCGTGTGTCGCCTATGATAATAATGTTATATAGTATTGCAAAGCAAGTACCTGTAAAGGACAAGAGACTTGAACGAAACTTAATGACGTTTTGCAGTGTGCCGGATTGGGTTATTTTAATCAATCGTGATCGACATACAACCAGCCCAATGGATGGCTTATTATTTATTGAGGGGTGGTTGGGGTACGAAATTTTCGAAGACTGTGAGTTTTTTACCCCCTAACCTAATCTTTCACGTTATTCGTAAGTTTTAAGCATTCCTACAAAAATTCAAATCTACGCCACTAGGACTAATTCACAATCGATTTCATATAAACAGCACGAGAAAAGCACGGAATCCGAAAAAAGATAGTTGAAAATGCACGTTGGTCGTAACACTTATAATATTGTGTACTTGTATGGCTTTGTCCGGGTTAGGTCAGGTAATCCAAAAACAAGCCGTGAATGTACCTAAAAACTACATACGTCTCTACAAATTTTGTATCATTTTTGGGGCCGAAATTGATAAGATTGATATGAGTTACATGTATCAGGAAAAACTCTTTTAATTAAATCATTAACATAGTTGCACGTAGTTAACTACGGGCTACGTTTAAACTCAACCAAACATAATAATCTGTAGCCATATGTAAACGACTGTCCATCGTCCGATGGAATGTATGAAAAAAAAATTTTATTTCTTTGCCTATTTACAACCAAATTAACCGAGGGAATCCAGCAATAAAGATACAGAAGAAAAAAAAAATGTAAATTTCGTACTTCAAGAACAAAATGTACATGTAAACCATCCTTTAGAGCAAAGTTTTCCCGAAAACGGCGTAAAATTGTAGATTTGTACTAAAAACAAATGAACTGATAAACACATAGTTTGTTTCAAATGAGTATTTTATTTATTCTTTGATGTTTGAAAATTCGAAATCGGAATATCACTAACGGTATTATTATACGGTTGGACGTCATTTTATGAACAACAACAATAATAATATTATTATTCTAGGTACCATGAACGAGTTTTGTTACAAATTCTATAAATAGTTGACTATTTCGGAGGAAGAATATTATGATATTATAAAAGATTGTTATCAAAAGGAATTTTAACGAAATCGGACCAATACCAAGGTCATCGGACTATTCATATTATTATTATACCGAGGTTCATACATATAGTACGTAAATAACGGCATTCCATATGAGTATTAAAGCGGTGTCTGGAGACGCGTTTTTTTGATAGTTTGATTCCAAAAATATTCACGTTTCTCATTTATGATGAAAAAAAAAAACGTATGCGAAGAATTTCGTATAAAATTCTCGGCAAACTATTCCGCGTAAATCGATAGATTTAAATTGGTGTTAAAATATTCGCGATTATTACGAGTTAGGTTGAAATTCGAACTTTAAACGCTTTTTAAAGAAGAATGCTTACGCTCACTTTTTTTTTCGTACACTAAGTACAACTTGCGATAAACCCCGTGGTAAATGTCGGAACAGTTTTACTCGGCCAAAATAATTGTATTAATTTTAACCCGACCACCGTTTTTCTTCATCGTGAAAATCACAAGACAAAGGGAAAAGCTTTCTTGTCATTTTTCGATCGGATCCGTGGTAGAAATCGGTGGTTTTCGGATAGCAAAAAAAAAAAAAAAAAAAAAACCCCCGCCACAGTATAGCATAAAACCGTAATACACAATAATCTTTCCAGTATTCCACTCTACGCTCGGTATTCAAAGAACACGGGACGGTCTATTCCGGTACCCGATAAATTCGACTGCATTACAGATTATTATTGTTGTTTTTATTGCCGGTGTGTTCGAACCGAATGTCGACGATCCGGCAGTCGAGCCCGGCGTTGTACGCGTCCCACGGGCGATTTCAGAGAGAGAGAGAGAGAAAAAATTACACTCGATAAACGCGGTCGTTCGAACTCGTACACGATATTTTATTTCCGAGCGTTTTCGTTTGGGGGATCTTAAATCAACTCTCCCGGTATATTATATTGTTGTACGGAGTATTGTGCCCACACAATAATATAATACCTACGGACCGCGTCGCCGTACAGTTCGTTCGTCGCGTATATAATAAAAATACGGGTTTACGAATATTTCCCACCCGCCCCTCACCCCTTCCCCCGGCGTACGGGTACGCCGTGCGTCCGCCGAGAGAAAGTCTCCGTGAAATAAATAGTCGCATTACGTTATTATCGTATTATTATTATTATCGCCGCCGCCGTTCCCCGTGTGTAGAGCGCACCGCCGGCCGATTTAGTCGATAAACAGTTCGGAGGGGAGCGAAATACAGGGTGAGCGTGCGCGGCTAGAGGGGGCAGCGGCCGTTTACCCGCCGTGAAACCGCCGCGGTCCGTGTAAATGATTATTATAACATTACAATAATATTATTATTATTGTACCGTCACAGCGGTATCCGCGAGACCGTACAATACCGTCCGTCTGTCTGTCTCTCACTCGCTCTCTGTCGCTCTCTGTCGCTCTCTATCTCTCTCTCTCTCTCTCTCTATCACTCGCTCTCTCTCTCTCTCTCTAAATACAATGCGTGATCTACGTAACCGTAATCGATATTACGTCCGTATAATAATTAACGACATCGCGACGAGCTTCGTCGAGGGACGGCGTGCGAACGATATTACGGGCGCGATGTGCGCACGATAAGTGAGACGTCAAAATCGATCTGATCGAAATCCGTGTCGAGTACGATTGGTTCCAAACGAATAAAAATGTACGCACAAATGCAAAATAACTATAAAATTGTTATCGGTATTCAACATTTTAAGTATTTTACATTTGTTTTATTCCAAAACATCTCATTTGAGTATTTCTTTTTCGATAATAGTCAAATCTTCAGTGGATGGTAAATATTCGTATTTTAATACGATATGAGCGTTCAAATATATATTATGTGTGTTTTAGATCCCGAGTGGAGCGAAGAAGCTTATAGTTTTACAAAGATGTTTATGTTTATTTTATTTTTTTTTTTTTTTCATCTGTGCGCAACTTTTCTACCAGAATACTGCTCGGATTTCTGCGCGTAGCATCTTTTTTTAAAGGAAATCGGCGTGGGCAGGTACTCTAAGAAGGTAATTTTTCGATTTTCTCAAGAGTTTTCTCATCAAATGCGAAAAACCGGGATAAAACGCGGGAAAACGTAGGAAGACTGGGAAAATCGGTACAACTAATGTTGTAACAAATAAATTAAACAAATATTATTAAAAAAAATATGCAGTGCCTATTTAAATATTTTACTGTAAAATGACATATATATATTGTTGACAAAGCATCACTATCAAATGAACTCCGCTCAGAATCGTTTTTTCGTAAGCAATGTTTCATTGTTGCTTACAGGTATACGTTAAAATGTATCATTAACTGCACCCGTTCCCATTATCCTAGGACGTCTTTTTAATCGCACAATTGAATTGTTTGGATGCAAACAATCAAATTATTACTGATAACAATCTGATAAGAAGTGCATGACGTAAGAACTAATCGCGCTTATTCCGATCGTTGAGCCCGACGGTTCGCGCGTGGAACCCGCGAAATTCTACAGACCCGTCGTCGTGATATTCTCCTTCCCCGCGACGGCCTTTTACACTACGCCTATTTCACTATCAATAACAAGAGTTTTGGCCGCCGAAAACGACATCAACGCCGGTCTTCTACGCTCCCGTTTTATATCAATGCCTCCTCTTCGACAACGTCCATCCACCACCTCTTCCCCCGTCGAACCTCCTCCCGGTTCTACCACTTGACACCACTTGCTTCCGTTCTACCGAAGCGAGTTTGGCGCACACGTATTTGATCCGACAAAAATGAGGGATCTGTTTTCGCATAATACTTCCTCGTTACTGGCCATCGTTTATCGAAAAATTCCAACTATACGTATTTTAAGTCACGAACCTGTTTCCCATATGCGGAACAGGGTACCATAATTATATGGTTATTTGACAGACTATACAAAGAAGTGTAATGATATATAAAATAATTTTAATATTGGTCAACTAGTAAAATCACAATATAATATTATATAACATTATCATTATCTACAGTGCATTTTATTATAATGGACACCGCATTATTTTATCAGTTATTAAGTCAATTTAGATTCAATACAAAATAGTATGTATAACAGTTAAATATTTCGATATAATAATAAGACATGATAATGAGGACCGGACAACAACACTCAACACTTCCCCCCTTTTTTCTCATAAAACACTCCTCGGCTCTTTTGGCGGCCGTATCCTGCCTTGGCGACTCGTCGTGTTTTTCGTCTTCCCGCGAGTGCGTGTTGTCCCGGCGTCTAACATTCTGACATCATCATTTTTAATTAAATCAAGTGTTTATTTTATCATTTCTATTCTCATTAACATAATAAATAAATATAATTATACCTGTGTTCAAAATCAACATTGTTACTGACGTTATTCCGTTCAGGATAGGTAAGAATATTATTGTTACACTTCATAGTTTATATTTTATATTAATCGTTTCCCACCGTCGTAGGCTGTAATAAATAATCTAAATGGTTAGTGGGTGTACACTCAATTACTTTGTACCCCGTTATTCACTTTATTACAGAAGCAAAGTTTTCCCTTGTTTCAATTAACTAACTTAACAGTAGTCCATAATTGCTCGCACTGTGAGTCTTCCCGGCCCGATTTAATAACCTGGATGCTCGTGCTGCGCTTCCTCTTCGATACCCAATCATCGGAACCCACCGGTCTGGAATCGCGTTCTGTGGCTTCTTCGAAGCGCGTGGTGGAGGTCACGCCGTAGGTCACCGGTGGGCTCTAGCTTCCGTCTCCCTAATCCTTTCATCTTTGCTGCACATGAAACTCCTTGTGTCGTCCGAACCCTGACGCGGGTCGCTTAACCTCCCCATGGTCGTTTGAACGAGATAACCATTACCTGCCCGGGATAATAGGATTTTAACCGTACGCTATCATTTTCTCTCTCTCACACACACACACAATACACACTACTATTGATGACTCGTCGATAATTTGTATTTGGTATTTTAAAAAAAAAAAATTGGACTTTATGTATTGATATTTTTCTATTACGATAAAGTCCGTTCCCTATTGATAGGTGTACGACGGTCTTAAGTTGCGTCTATATACTATATTTTTTCACAACGATGATTCCCGGACCTCTCTCTCTTCTATCAGTCAATTTCTTTGTATACGTTGTGGACATCCTATATAATACGAGAACGGACAACTGCTCTTATCAGTGTTTTGTAGAATGCGATATTTCGCGGCTACACAGTACGTATATATAGAAGTGACGGTATTCCACTGACGTTGTGAGCCGTGCCGTGTGCCTTGTCGTATTCTGATTGGCCGTTGTAATCGTGGTAACGTCTAGTAACCAAGACCTACCGGGAAATTTCCAGAGTCGAGCCGATTTTAACTTTTAACTCTCGTTTGGGTTGCAACACACTGGATTACTACACACTTGACATTTTCATGGTATTAGAAAAAAAAAAAATCGAAAAACGGCGTCACCCATGACAGCTGACGAGCACCTATAACCCATAGAAAACGATTACCCAGTTTGGTACTCTATTGTTAGTGTAAGCTTTCTCTTACGTCTACGGTTCCGTGTATTAATATTCTTCGTATATTATGTCGATAAGCTAGATAACGATTCACTGAAAACTCAAAAAAACTAGGAAAAAAAAACCCCCTAACGCGCGCACTGACGAACCGTCTTATGAATACCATTATGAAATCTTCCGAATAATTTCGTTCCCGCGATCGATAACCGAGAACGATCGGACGGGTCGCGCGCGCGTTCCGCGTGCCATTACCGTTGTTTTAGTCCGGGTGCGCGCGCGGAATAAAATATTATTTTCGTTTGTCGGTAAGAAAGAAAAAAAAAAAAAAACCATTACAAAACAAAAACGTGGCCCGAATTATTACGGCGCCCGAATACCGTACGCGACGACATCACCTGCCGAAATCGATTTTGTTCGTCCGGAGGACCACCGGTGTAGTGTTGTTTGGCGGCGCCCGGCGTTGTCGTCGTGTGAGAGAGAGAGAGATGGAGAGAAAACATTTGGGGCGCCGCCTCCGCGCGGATCGATCGTTATTATTACATACGCGCGAGTATGTAAGTGCAAATTAAAACGTCGAAATCGCGGGCCTCGGCGACGAACGACATGGATAAACTTAAATATAAAAGGGCCCGAATCCGTCTGTTTACGGTGTTGTCTGTAACGTTTATGTTGTTTTTTTTATCGCAGAACGCAAATTGTGTCGTTTAGATCGAAATCGGCGTTTAAACGGGGGTGGGGGGGAAGGGAAAGGTCTTTCAAAATAAGTCACCGTTTTGTTGTTAGTATTTGCATTTATTTATTTTTTTTTTTTTTTTCTAAACGGTTTTCTTATTCTTTAAATTTTGTTATTTGCGATTGAACGCTAAACGTTTCTGCCTAACGTAATTTTTTTTTATGTCGTGCGCCAGACGGAGACGACGCATGCGGACACATGACGTCCACTTAACCACTTCATCTATACCCACGTCCCACGTATTTATAATTTATTCTTTGTAATAATAATTACGTCTGCGATTGCAAATTTGTGTGATAACGCATCTTTATAGTCCCCTACAATGCGCATCAAGAGCGTACCGCGGTCGTTGCAGTCGGCTTTTATCGGATTAGTGATTATATGCTAGCGACGCACAATAAATTATTGCCAGTTGATCTGTAATCGTTTATTAACATATTTTATATTTCATTCGATTTATGAGTCGGTGCGAAGTGCGTGTAGATACGTCATAACAACGAAATTCGACTTTAGTTAAGACGTTCGGTTTCGACGAAATTCGTATGCGTAAAAATGATTTCGCCATAGTAATTCATCGAAACGTCTGGTTTTAGCACTACATCCATTTCAAACGTTTCAACGGGGGCGTTATAATATCTAAATTATCAAATAACGGGTTCACAACCTATGGTACTTATATTATTAAGCCGTGCCTATAGCATGGCTTTGGTCAGTGTCAGTCTCAGTGCATGAAGACATTTTTTTCGGAATTAATATTAAAATACTTAAAATACTATATTTATATATAACACTAGTTGTCCCGCATTTTGCTCGTGCTCACTGCACAGTATTGAACGAAAAAAAATATATACGTATTACGTGTTTCCCAGTAACCCCTCGTTTCCATTCCCCCCGTACTTATACCATAGTTAACCGTCGTTGTACTTGTTCCTTGCCCTAAAAACTAAACGAACTGCTAATAATAATAATGCCTCTTTTCCCCCATTCGTATCGCTTAGGTAACCTATAAACCAATAAAAAAAAAAAAAATCAATTTTCGTACCAAAAATCCCAAAAACCTTGCGTCAACCGTCTTTTAGCGGTTAAAACTCGGAAATCCGCTTCTGTATGTAAATCTGCGATCATGCACTGCAGACGAACAAACAGATATTTCTTTTTATTTATATTATAGATAATGTGTTTTTTTTTTAATTCGATCGGGTGAAAAAAATCGTGTATAAAATTGGTGGTGTACCATCGGTTTTAGAATACATTTTCCGACATTCGGCCGTCAGTCAGCACTTAAATAACTATTTTGCGAATGAAAATTCAAGGAGAAAAACCATTTTTAAATTGTGATACATTTCGGTTCTGTCTGTAAACAATGAGTTTTCTGTTTTTGAAATTTGCTTCAGTTAAACAATTTCAAATGAGAGGTCAAGAGGTTGAAGCATTTTGTAATTATTGTAATTGTTGGTGCATTGTTGGAGGCGATTTGTTTTGAATTCCTAGCATTTTTCTTCCATCAAAAAAGTCGGGAAACTAAAATATTTACGGAACTCCGGAGTTTTTTTTTGGGGGGGGGGGGGTAATTCGCTAAAAGAACTTTCACCGATGCCAGCGTTGTCTGAACGCGATAATCGCTCAGTTATCGAGTTATTTATTGCGGACTCGTAAACTATTCAGGTACTGTAAATATTGCTGTAAGTGGCCACGGGAAAACGCGCGACGGTTTGCGTAGGTATTTGTAGGATTTATGATAATTACGTATAGAAGAGGAGATCAGTCGCGCAGTCGCTTCGCGACGTTCCGGCACGTCGTTGTTATTGTTGTGGACGGGATTTCCCCGGGACAATGGACTCGGGTGTGTCGCTCAATTAAATTTATAGCGTTCGGAAACGGTATTATGGATTTCGAGCTGGTTTCACAACGAAAAACGGACCTTTAGCCGTTGTTCGTTCGCCTGCCGTCCCCTACCCCGGCCCGGTCGTGATGGCCCATAAAACACGGATTTCGTTTTGTTGAAACGACCGCCGCCGCCGTATAACCGGCCACACGTGTCTCGATTGCGCGTGTATACACCGCACTCGGCGTGTAACGGTTCGGCCGGAAACCATTACTGTACCGGCGGCGTACGGCGGTGCCGTTGCGGTTGCCCCCTATCACCCCCCTCCCCTCCCACCCGCCGCCACGCGGTTCGAGGCGAACGATTTTTCGTCGACTCGGGCGAATAATCTTCCCGGCGATATTGTCATATTTCAACAAATCGCGTTTCCAAATACGTTGTAATTCGGGAATGTTTTTTTTGTTTTTTTTTCCAAGAAGCGATAATGCCGTCGAAATTATCGCTCTTCTCTTCGGCTCGTATAATTTAGTCACTGAAAACGACGAACATACTTATATATACTTGTATATTTTAATTAGGTAAAACGAGACACGAACACGTCGTATATGTATGCGCGTTGATGCGCTAAACAATTATCGGTTACGCATTAAAAACCGTGAAATATGCACTTTATTTTTTTACTCGAAACAATAAATGTATTACGTATGCTAGACATTACAAAAATAACTGTTTAATTTTTTTTTTTTACCAAAGTGAATAAAATCTTAAAAAAATTATCTCTGTTCGTGAAAATTAAAAAATAAATAAATCAAGTTGCAAAATCAAAATCGGCTATACATTTTTTTTTTATATTGAATAAACAAAATAATATCCTTTTGATCCTTTTAACATCCAATTAAAACCCTATACTTTGAGTAAAATTAATATTTATAATGGTATACAAGTAGTCTATAGTTTTTAATTTGATAGACGTTCGGAGTACCCCGTCACTACCGTCTGTGATACGGGAGCCGCGGAAAAGCGAAATACGAAAATGGTAAAATTAATCTCTCGTTGTCGGACTGAATAATTTTCAACGCGCTTGATGCGAACTGGGGGAAACACGTCGTCGGTGTCTCGTTTTCTATTTCTCGAATCAAACGATTTCCGAATCATTCATCTATGATTATTACATATACCCACGCACAAACGATAACGATCAAATGACATTTTCTTTTTCGTTTTATTTTTTTTCCGAGACGTGTATTACTTTTTTGTATCAACAATATCAATCCAACCGAAAGACCGTCACGTGGTCGTTCGGCACGTGTTATACGTGGTGATTCATTTAATGCGGCTGAACACTCGTCATCGTCTCGGAAAATACAGCGAGTATCGACATTTTCTCTTTACCGAACACAAAGGCGAAAACATATATTGGTTAATGGAAAATGTGGCTATGATTTCCCTAAAAGAAGATAATAATAATAATCACCCTGTACAAACTTACAGGGTAATATGGTGACTTTGTATACAATATACATGCACGCGTAGTCATTAAGAAGACGTTATACCCGCATCTACTGTCTCATTCCAAGTGAAACTAGCCTCATTTTGATTATAGGGTATACCTATTATGAAATGTATAGAATACAATATTTTTGAGGGAATGTCATAGGTGTTTTTTAAATTACGAACTGTTAAAAGAGTTAGAGTTATTTAAAAACAAAAAAAAAGGTTTTTGTACCTTTCACATCGAGCTGTATATTTTTAATAATACAAAAACTCTATAACATTCCTTCCAAAATATCGTTCTCTATACATTTCATAATTGGTACTTTTACTCTAAAATCAAAACCAAGCTAGTTTTACTTAGTCTGCGTTAGCGTTTTTTTTTTCGTTTTTTTTTTCGCGTGTTACCCGGTAGTTGGACTGAGACAGTAGATGCGGGTATAACGTCCTAAAAACATATATTATTCTATTTTAAATGACATTTTCTTAAATATCGCTTTCGCCATAACATACTGATACGCGTTGTTATTCGACGGGATCATTACGTTTTGATAAAATTATTATTTGCGTTTTTATCTTTTTAATTTTAATTGTAATTGTTAATTTTAATTTTATTGCGATCTTTTTCCACGAGTAAGCATTATTTCGGTTTCTGTTATTTTCTGACGTGGCGCGTTTGCTTAAAAACAAAAAAAACAAAAAAACTGAGATTGTTTTCAACACCGGAAGCGAAGCTTGTATGTAATCGTTTCCGCCGAAACCCCGTCCCGCATCTGTTCAGCCGTTTTAGTTTACACTATAATATAGGTACCTGTATATACATGATTTGTTTTTTTAATATTTATTATACATTACATTCTAAATATTATTATTTTTCAAACTATATTCTAAATATCATAATGTACGCGTGAATGTAGGTCAAGTTACAATAATATAGGTAGTGTTGTTATTGTAATTTAATTTCTGTTTTGAATATCGATTGATAGCCATTCCTCAACGGATGGGGTTTGGGTCTGGATTATCCCGTACGACCGACAAGGGGGAAGAAAAATCATAGAACACGACCTCAAATATTACACTATATTCTGCTCGCCTGGGGGAGGGGATTGTTCAGGAACCTCTATTCGTTCGTCTGGCGATAATCGATATAATACCTACAAAGAACCACGTCGCGGACGGGTGTAGGTCTGTACTTCTATTTTTTGTAAGTGAATTTTTGCTTATCGCGGTAGAAGAAATGTTTCGTAGTTCCTTGATTATATTATCATTATTATCGTATATACTATACGTAATACTTATGAGCAGGGCTTGGGACGTGTTTCCCTTAAAATCCACAAGAGACGTCAAAAAATCCCTGGATTATAAATTATTAAAGAAGCAAAGACCTTTTTCTTAAAAAAAAACTGATAGCAACCGTCTTGACGTTTCTGAAAACAACACAATATAATACTTTACCTTATCTATTGATTATTTAAATATTACATGTATAAACCTAAACTTAACCTAATCCGTCTTCACCTCCACACTCGTAGATTAAAAAAAAAAACCCCCAAGCGTACTTTTTGTGGGTAAATTTGAAATGTATAGAGTATAGGATAATTTAATTTACATAATGAAAGCAACAATAAATGAGCGCTATCAAAAAACAATTCTGAGTGAAGTAGCACCAATAAGAGTAGTATTGTAATCTTGTTATTTTCCCTTTATAGCCGTGGTAACTCAGAAGAAATCGACAAAAACGAAACCGATGTATTGACATTAATTATTATTGTCAGTTTTTTTAAATTGTATTGTAAGACTATTGCGATTCTAGAAATACGTGGAAAAAAAACCGAGGAATTTTAGTAACGCAAAATGTATATTTCGAGAAAAAAAAACGGGTCTTATAGTTAAAATGCAATAGCACTCAGAATTTAAAATAATCATGAAATTCCGAACAAAATAAAAACCTGTTCAATTTCGATTAATATAAACTTAAAGCGAAACTCATAGTATTTTTTTTTTTTAAATTGCGAATTTTTATATGTTTTTTTTTCGGTTCGTCAATAGAATACAGGAACAATAATATTATATGGTCGTGTAATTGATTTTTGATGCCAATTCACGTTCACGGCCGGTCTCGCCGAGACCTTGCTACGCAGCTCATCTGGTCGTATTCTCATCGTACAAAACACAAAGCGACGATCCGGAACCGCTATAGCTGTTTTCAGAATGACGATAATCGTTTTCAAACTGCCGTGTACACATCACTCGGAATCTTGGAAATCGCGCCTGCAGTTTTACTCCTTCCGGTGCGCGAAGTCCGTTGTTCTCTCAACCTACGACCGCCGCCCCGCTGCCCACGATGTTTTTTTCCCTGTCGTGAACCAGCGATTATTTTATTGTACGAAGATTTTCGGTAAATCCGATCGCAATAACACTGCACGTGTAAGCCATTGCGGCCCGCGTACCCGTACTGCGCCCGCATTAATGTCGTACTACCTTAAATAAAAAAAAAAAAAATTGATTGACGTGGCACTATCATGGCAACAAGGCAACTCGACTAGGTTACTATTGTGTTTACATTAATATGCCTATTAATTACCTACATTAGTATACCCATTTGCCCCGCGTGTGAACTCGCGCTGGCCGGTTCGGCGGCCAATTAATAAGTAGAGAGAGAGTTGTCGAGAAAAAATAACCACACAAATACGACGGGATATCCTAGCGCGTGCCTTATCGGTCCGACCGGTTTTTTCGCCCGTATGAAAAACAAATAAAATAATTTATTATTAAAAAACGACGCGCGGCTCCGTGTTGGCCGTCGTCGTCTCGTAGTCGTGCGAGACGGCGGACATACCGCTGCGAACAGTATAACGACGTGTACGACAAAAATTATTATCATTCCAATAATGTGGTCTTGTCCTATTCATCCGCTACATAATATGTTACCATCACGTCGCGGTGGTGCGCCTACTGTTTTTCGCCCGGATTCGTATTGTGTTTTCGTTTTTATAATGCGCGTATACGCGTGTCCGGCGGCGGGGTCATTCGAGCCGGGGGCGGTTGTTTTATTTCCACGGTAATAACAACAACGGAACGCGGAAATAATAAAAGCCGTGTGTATTTTTCGTTATCCGGGCGATGACCGAGCAGTGCGTACCTATAATATTACCTATATTAATACGGTAGAACCTCGTTAATCCGGACTAATTGGGGCTCTAAGTCGTCCGGATTAATTAAAATCCGAATTTAACAAAATACCCGATAAAACCGTGTATACACTACGGATTTGAGAACTAATAATGTTGCACGAGTACGTAATTTATAAAATATAATCGCGGAACTCGACATTTGTTCATATTTATTTTGGTCTGCGGCTGCTCAAACTGCGTAGTTTATTATAACAGCTGTCCAGATTAAGCGATGTCCGGTTTAGTAGGATCCGAATTACGGATTCTGTACGCTATACGTTACCTATCAGCACTGATAAAAGACAACTTAAGAAATTCGAATAACTCGATACCTTATCGAGATTCGATTACCACGGAAATCGAAGACGGCTAAAAAAAAACTTAAGTACTGCGTAAATGTGTAAAACAGAAAGTTTAAGTTTTCGGACCGTTGTAGATTTTTCGAGAAATGTTTCCGTCGTCACAAATCACGATCTGTAGGAAAAAAAACTTCGCCCATAATACTTAAGTGATTTTAATTTCTTTTACAGTTAATTCGATTCATTTATACAAGTTTGGATCGTATAAAAATGTCGGTCGAAAAAAACTTAAAAATCGTAGTACATCGCCTCTTCTTCCTTCGCCTCAACTTCCATTTCGATTTATGTGGAGTTTTTCGAAATACCTAAAGCTAATAATGTACAATACGTGTACCGGCAAAGACGGTTTTTTTGTTCAGACCCTTAATTTAAACTAAACACAACAATAAATACTGCACTCGTTTTGTCTGTTACGGCGTAAAACAACTTTTTCGTATACAGCTCTACGGAAGGGTGTGATTAACAATTTTCCAAATACAAATACCGAATTTGCTGACCAAGAATTATTTTAACTTTTGATTCATCATATTGTGATAATAAGTAATATATTTTACGATAAAATATTTAAAAAAACAAACAAAGAAACTATTAATATTTTCGGCTTTAAAATTAAATTATTATTGAATTGCCCACTCGGTCTACATTTCCACATTCTCGCTCCTACGCGCCTCATCTATTTTCAGTCCTGTTCGTATCTTAATTTTCGACGTCATAGGCACATAAAACCGACATGCGAAACTATAATAATACATCCGTTTTGCGGAGAAAGAATTATTTTTTCCCTACTCGAATTCGCCTCTCACTACAATAACGGCGAACATGACATTGAAAAAACTGGTAAAGTTAATAATTGAGCGCCTCTCTCCATTGAGCGCCGCACTCGTGTGTTATTCTTTCGAATAGCCGTCGAGCGGTTTTGTTTTTTTTGTTTTTTTTTGTTATCCTCGTCGAGCGTTTTTTTCCCCTCGTCATAAAAGAAACGTGACATTATTTTAAAAAAAAACCCCTTGGCAGCCCGTATATACGTTTGACTTTTACCACTCTATCAAAGTATATTAATTATATAGGTATAAATTATAATTATATACGCGATATATACTTTGATGTTTTCTGCAGTGTTTCAGTTTTCTATTGTATATTATGCAACGTTTTACATCCTCTATGATAAAACGTAGAGATATCATGTAAAAAAGACTTGACAAAAAAAAAAACCCCTGAGCAATTCACCATGAAAAGAGCGGTCTTTTTTTTTTTTTTTTTTGTTTCTCTACCAGTGGTTATAGTAGTGATAATATAATTTCTTTTGAACATTAGATATTTGATTATTGCGTCAGTTAAAATATTTAAACATTTTTTTATAAATCAAACAAATCGAAATAATATTATTGTATTTTGATGGTTTTTTTTTTTTTTTTGTGTTTACGCGATGACTATTTTTGTAGTAAGTATATATTATAACTCGTGGTCAGTATTATTAATTTAAAATTTGTAGCACTACGTTTCAAGGCCGTTTAGATCGTTTTATCTTAACACCACTGATTCTAAATCATAATATATATTATGGTATCTTACATTAGTATTAGGTGTATATAACGAAACAGCATATAAATTATATAATATCGTAAGTTATTTTAATTTAGGTAAATTATTACAAAATTTACGTAACACAACGATAACCAACCAAGTCACGGTAAATGATCAATTCAATTAACCTACTAGTTAAAAACGCGCCGTAATTTAAGGCCATGCAATGTCGGAAATACTCTAATAAAATTCAACCACATTATAATAGGTATAGTATTATTTCACTTCTTTGTTTATATTATTATTGGTGGATATTTGCCGAAGCCGGCCGTAATAAAATCGATTACTTATACGGTTAAGTATCATCTCCATAAAAAATCCTCATGGCCAACAAATTTTGCGAAAGCACGGAAAATCCAATAATGGTTTGGACACGCGACGAAGAGACCCATTGTCGGCGAACCTAAATGCGGCGGCTGAATGGAAAACCATTATAAGAAATATACCTAGAGGACGTCCAAAAAAACGATGAACATGGTAAAACTTGATCTGAACATTTTTTTTTTTTGTTATTCCTCAGAATAATATTTTGTAGTTCTTCGCGTCTGTTGTGCCATAATTCGTTTAGATCCTTGTAGTTTTCTTTATTCATATCCCTCGTCATTCGGGTCATTTATTTTGCTCTTGATCTTCCTCTCCTTATGTTTCCTTCAGTATCTCATTCCAACACTTTCGGTCCAGGGGATTTTAAGCAATTTTCTGAAATACCACATCTCAAATCAAAGGCTCACAGCCTACGGTTGTTCGTTGAGTTAACTATCCAGTTTTGTATCTAAAGAGAAATTAGGTGTAGTGAACAATTTATTGTTAAAAGAAAGAACAAAGGGACTTTTAATGTTCAGAAGAAAAAGTATCAATACAACTACTTGAAATAAAAATATCGTTTTTTCTGCGATCGAACCGAAAAATTTGTTTTAAGAAATATTTTTGTTTTTTTAATTTATTCTGTTTTTTTTATCGATAAAAAATATTTAATAAAAAAAAACTCCAGCGACGAGATTATATCAACATAATAAATATTGTTTTACCGGATATCGATTTTTTTTTTTTTTATAATTTATTTTAAAATATTATATTATATTCTTACATTGTGATTTCTTAAAATGTTGATTAAAATAAAGACATAATACGTAGGTATATACAGGGTAATTTTTTTATCATGAACCAGCAATTATCTCGGAGGATTTTAAGTGAATTTGATTTCTGTTTTTTCTAATCATTATGGAATAGTTTAAGCTTTAATTTAAAGACATTTTTAATTTTTACCCCTATTCCATGTACTTTAAATAAGTGCATACTTTTAATTTTACAATAAGACCCCCCCCCTCCTCTTTTGAACACTGATTTGAGTAGAAAATATTTTTCAAGAAATTTTGATATTAACATTATGCATATCAAAATTTCTAAAAAAATATTCTCTATTCAAATTTGTGTTCAAAAGGGTGGAGTTTCTATTTGAAAAGTATGCATTTATTTAAGGTAGGAGTAAAAAATTTAAAATGGTTTTAAAATAAAGCTTATACGGTTCCATAATGATAAGAAAAAACAGAAATCAAATTCACTTAAAATCCTCTGAGATATTTACTGGTTTATGACAAAAAAAATCACCCTGTATATTAGACAGACCCAAATAATTTCGTCGTTATAAAATTGAATGAATAAATTATTGTAATCTAACTATTGACAACATAATATAAAAAGTAAAAATTTCAAAAGAACAATTTGTATTGCCAACGTAATATTATAAATGATAAACAAATTTAATTTTAAATAATAAATTAAAATACTTCTAAATACGTCAATATTTAAATTTTAAGGTTATATCACTATTTATATGAAATTCTTATTCAAAAATACATATTTTTCTTTCGCTCTTAAATGTAATCAAAAATCCGTTGTTTGATCGAATATCTACGGAGAAATGTCTTTTGAATATGAAAAAAGTGTTTCTAACTTCCCGAAATGTTTTAATTGCGTGCCAAAAAAGCATCGAAGAGAGACAGAATTAGTATAACTGGCTTCTGTGACTTCCCGAGTACATATGTTGTTTTTATAGATTTTCTGTTACCTTTGTTTTCATACACCCATCCGATGTTTTTCTAAAAAAGATTTTACCGTGTTTAGTGATTTTGTAACGTATCCAAAAGAGAAGAGTAACTTGACGAGCTTTTTAGGAGGTTAAAAAGTATATTTTCTTTGTTTTAAATAAAACCTTGGTGTGCCGAGAAATGCAACATTCCACAAGGCTAATACCAAAAATTTGTAACTAAAAAACTGCGGATGTGCCGAATGGTAGTAAAATTTGTCCCCACAATGTTGTTCGAAGCTCAAAAACAAATCCAAGTTTAAGTTTGTTAGGAACTTTTTGTTATAACAAATAACAATGAAAACTTTTTGAAATATATCGTTACGTAATCATCAAATTTGAATAAAAATTCTCTTCAACCCCCTAAAAAGCTCATCAAGTTGCTCTTCTTTTTGATTCATCACAAAAACGTCGAAATACGAAAAATATATAAATACAAATACATAGTTTATACCAAAACAAAGAAGAATATATTATATTCCTACAAAAATATATATTATGCTCAGAAATATTCACAGAAGTCATTGATACTGCTCTCTTGCTTGTTGGGCAAATCTAATCTAACTTTTAGATCACAACTCGTACGCACATTGGTTAATTTCGACATCGGTTCGCGCCGTTTTCAATTTCAAATATCGAATCGGTTATTGGTTTTATATATATATATATATACGGATATACCGGAAATTCGAAAAAAAAGTTATGTTTCGACTCAATCGATTATTAGCACTACATTGGTATCACAATAACGTTTGCGGTATCAATATAATAAGTCCCATGAACAATATTGTTAATAATAAATTGCTGAAATTCGCGTCGACACACGGCACGCGATTATTTTATCGTCGGCAATTGTCGCGTTTGCGGTGAACCGATTTTCATTAACAACAACAACCACGACGTGTTTATTTGGCCGAAACGCAATAACAATCGAACCATAAGCAATTTGTAAAAACAGCAGATACTTAAATTATTATCGATATTATTATTATTATAACAGTATTTACTGCAGCCGAGTGTCCCGAAACGAAAATAACGTAGACGGCGACGTATATAGTTTGCCGAGTCGAATTAAATGGTATTCGAAATGACATTCGAGTTGCCCGCAGTTCCTACTCCGGAGTTAAGTATCTAATATTATTTTGGATCGCCGCGAAAATTTAAAAATCTTCTCTCGTCTCGCTACAATGAAAATCTCTTTACTGCACACAATAATATTTTACAACCATGTTCTCGGGGTCAAAGTTTGTCTGTACGTTTTTTTTTATTATTATTATTATTATTTTTCACATTTTTTGTATCGAAGACGACGACGGTATAATAATATTGTTATTATTATTATCACGACCGCGATAATGACTCGTTCACAACAATAAATTTAATACGTGTATTACACATCTGCGACGACAAAAGATTTCCATGCGTTTAGCGTAGTCATCTTATAGAGATTAATGTACGTCAGAATAAAACAAAACCGGTAAAAAAAACCCCAACGTCTTTCGCTCGGTGTCTAAGGTAATTAAACGTCATTGCGATATAATATTATATATACGTGCATATATTATAATTATTATTATTGTCGTCGTCGTTACGCACCAGAAGTTCTATTTCGAGAACACCGAGAATGTTGTTTAAAAAAAAAGTAATAAAAAAAAAAATAATATTAAAAAAAAAGATCACCTACGTCGTACACAAACGTAAGACGATTTATATGAATTATTATATTATGTTCTCTCGAAAACGTCGTTTCCGCAGAATATATTACGCTCGTAATCGGGCGTCAATTCGTCGGATTTCCGAAATAAATTTACCTGTCTACTGCATGATTTATTACCGATTGTCACACAATAACGACGGCGTGTTACACAAAAATCAATCGCACCGGGATGCCAGTTTTCTGGATCCGTCGCATTCGAATGGTTCGAACCACTCCGCGGATTGTTTTTCTCTTCCGCTCGGCTTCGGCCTTTAAAATGTAAGAGTCACGCTAACATTTGCCGTCTGCTAATCTAACGGACAATATAGATAGCAAAAATTTCATTTTTATATTTCAAATAATACGTAATACCTTATACCTAGTCCTAAAACAAAAATTCATCGAACTAACGACGACAACATTTGCTGAGCTTTCGCATGGGGATTTTGTGTATTTATCTCCTAAATAATCAAAACCTAATAAATTACTTGACTTATGGAAAAATCCTTTATCACCCAGTTTTCAAATATCAGTATCGGTATTCTTTCAGTGATCTCTCTTTTTTAGATCTTTGAAACTGAATTTGATGTCCGTCAATATGTAATCTTTTCCATTCATTGGTTTGGTCATCAAAGATCGGACCGTATATTTTGCTGAGAACTTTTCCCAAGAAAACCGCTAATCTAAGCTCTGTTTTTCTCAGCAGCCGTACGTCTCGAAACTATACAAAACAATTATTGGTCATAATAAAATCGTGCGCATCCTTATTTTTTAGTTCTTTGGAGAAGGTCATGTGGATTTCTCTTTTCCACAGTATATCCTTTATTTACTGGTTGGATTTTCGACAATATCATCGTGTTTGCATCATTCGTTCATTTATTTATCTTTTTATTTATCTGCGAAATATTTTCTGTTAAAATAATGTTTGATATTTGCACGTCGTCGTGGGTGTAAATCGGTGTTTTCGTCTGGATGAAAACGTCCGGTTTAACAGCGAATTCGCCGTGAGTCGCATGTAGTGTATTTAGGATATTATTATGTACCCGCTCAAATAAATACCCACCCATTCGAAACGGACAATCGCGCGCAACAATAAAACGTTTGTAACCATCGCCATTATTATGTGATGTCCGATTTCCGTGTCTAATTTGACCTATAAAATATAATATAGTATATATATATTTAAAATGCAGGTACATTAGTTTGATAAAAAATAAAAAAATAAATCGTTTATCGTTCGGACCGCGCCATTTGTTGATTTTCAAAACGGCGTGTATTGTACACCTATTGTAATAGGTTACATATTATATTACATGTACATTATTAAACTCGATCCACTTTTTTGCGGATCGGCCATTTTTCGACCGCATCGACGTGCGTGTTTGAGAAATGCTTTTTTACAGAGTCGGAAAAACGTCGATGGCATAGATACGGGTTTTCGGAGCGTGATGATAATAATATAATATAATAACAATCGACAAGTGTCACTGATTCGTGTCAACGACACACTGTATATTATATTATACAAGGTGGGCGTGCGATGTGTGCAGTGAATTATGTAGGTTAACAACGACACGGCGGCGGCGACATTTTACTTCCTCTCTCTCTCGACGACCGTATCCAATTTGTTGTTGTTGTCATCGTTTTGTCGAATTAATGAATAATCGTGTGTGTGTGTGTGTGTGTGTGTGTGTGTGTGTACATTATTTTTTTCTTTTTTGACCTGCCACCCGAACGATCCATTTGTTTTATCGTCCTCCCCTCCCAACTCCTTCCCGTTGACTATCGAAGCACTCGTGGTCAATTAAACACCATCACGTGACTATTATTATTTATAGACAATGTAATATCGGTACAATATCAAATATCAATTGAAAATGGACCGTGTCGTGAGTATGCGCTCGTGTATATACATATATATAACCGTTGCGCAGTACATTCAATAAAACAATAATGAAATTATTTTAATATAATATATTATTACGAATACAATTCAATACAGAACCATAAGATAGTTTTCCTCTTGTCCGTGACCGTTTTTTTATATTATATTATACGTGCCTAATAATACTAACAATATATAACATCCCGGAACACGAGAGAACCGAGGAAAAAACCTTTGACTTTTACCGGCTAATATGTTTGAAAAATATGATCACTCTACGTTTTTCACGGATCAATAACCAATCGTTCCCAAATAGCGTTCTCTTTCTCCGGAATAAGTTGTATTTGTAATATGGTTTTCCGGACATACACATAGACATACTTACCGATTTTATCTCTTTATCTTGCAGTGGCGTATTTAGAAATTCAACAAGAAGAGGGCTATTAGTTTTAAAATTATATCATATTACTAATATATTGTTTAATAATGCGTATCCTGCAGTAATATTGATGTATGCTAAACAAAAAAAAAAATATCGAATTTCAATTTATACATTTTTGTAACTCATTGTTAATTAAATCGGCCCTAAAATTAGCATTGAAACCGTTTTTCTAACTATCTAATTCTAACCCCCTTCTTACTATTATAGGTTCGGCGGGTAAAATCGTAAATTTTCTTTTAAACAAGAAAATATTTTTATGTTCATGTTTTTTTCAAATTATCAACAACTGTCGGTACCTATCACACATTAAATTCGTGATTTTTCTGACTGAAAATTAATGAAATTTGAATTTTAAAATAAGTGGTCGTATAAATAATAGATATAGGTACAAAAAATAAAGGCCAAGATATAATTCCATAATCTCCCTCGTAAATACGCTACTGTTTTCTCGTCTCTGCGAGTAATATTACGCATATATTATTAAACATGTCTATGTCGTTTTCGTTGTTATACTCGTGTATCGTACGGTTTTGTGTCTGACGCACGAGAATAATAATAATATGTGAAATATTCCACAGCGTCTATAGAATTTATCATCAGGAGATTATTATTGTTGTCGAATCTCGTCGAAGCGAGCAGGTGTACACTATACAACAATAACGTACCTTCGCCGGAGGGATGACGAGAACAAGGAAAGTTTTGCTTAATGGACGTTTAAATGATGAGAAACTGCTGAAAATGTCGTAACGCGAATATACAGTACGATGACGATATATTGTAATGTGCTCTCCTACGCGTATTTGCAAACGGTACGGGTGTATACCGTAAAACGTGGTCGGGACGCCTGCTTAAAATTATATCGCGTGGTGCCAAACTCCTTCGGTCCGAAAAACAGTTTTTTAATATGATATGATTTCGACCAGATTACTAAAATCGAAAAACGACAAAGTATAGTTTCTAATAAAATTGTTGGTCCAGTCGATGCATTCGGGCAGGGAGAGAGGTATGAGGCCATTTTTGAAATTGTTTTTGTTTTAAATATAATACGGGAAATCCGATAGAAAATCACTGGCATCTATTTTGTGATTTTAGAAACTGCAGGGGGTTCGAAAATAAAATTAGTTTATTTCAATTTTTATATCGCGGAGGTTCCAACTCGAATTTTTTAATTTTTCTGCATTTTTTTCCATCGATGATTACTGAATTCCCTTAGTTACACGCGAGGAAAAATAACTGTAATGATTGTCACAGTAACTGATCTCTACTCAACAATTTTTTTTATGATATTTGATCATTGCTTTCGGTGTGTAAACAATAGCGACCTATACCATCAACGATTACCTAAACCTAACATTGCAATGTCCTCTTTTCGAAGTATATAGAGACTAGATAAATTTTTATCTGTATATTATCATCTAATCTTTCTAATGTTAAGTATATTATTCAAATATTGTTACTGATTATTGTGCTGTTCCTTGATTATTGTTACTGCTGATACACGGCACACCGTTACCGAGGGTTTTTGTCAAAACGTATTAACTCAGTTTTCCTCAAGACCATCGACAATGATACGAGTATTGTACTTAGATTTGATAAACATATTATTATCATAGAGAAATTTTGTTTCTATTATACCGCATCATCTTTGGAACAGTTGGGCTAACTTTTCTTTGCTCGACTGCAGGTCCGGACCCCTATAAGGTGACCTAATATTATTATAACAATAACAATAATTTTAGTTTTGAAATTGTTAATATTATTAATACTAGATGATGAGACCACACTCCGCGGATGTCGGCTTCTATTTCTAAATAATGCACGCAGTTATTGTTCCGGAAATGATTCAGCTAATTTATGTGAAAATAGCTATGGATGTTAATTAGAATACGCTCAGTCAAGAAATGTGTGTTTTTTTAAATTTGGCATTTCACCTCCCCTCCCTGATATTGTTACAAAATCGTGTGTTTGACTGGACAACGTTAATCGTCGTGCGTGTGTAAATAACGCATCCTGATTTAAAAAGTCGTTTCTGCTATTTTATGTTTAATACAAACCGACATGAATTGAACTCGTGATATTTAACGATATTACTCGATATTTCACATAACTATAATAACTACAATAAATGTCAAATGTTAATGTAAATCAATTTATGTTTCAGGACTTCATGGAAGAGCACAATAGCTTCATATGCCGGTTGGTTCACTAATTCGTTACGTCGACGAAGGTCTGTACTGTTCGCCTTATTCTTGAGTATACTTCTGCTGGTACTCTGCGTTCAGTACAATACGTCCAGCGACATAAGCATCCAAAGCATCCAAAACAACGTGGTTATGTCCGAATTTGAGTCAGATGAACAACAGTCGCCCAAAAAACAGCTGCAAATGGCGGCCGCACCAGTACCAGTGCCAGGCTCGGTAAGGAAGATGAAAAAAGACAACGATGTGAACTTCATCGAGGAAATACAGACTCGAAAGAGCCGCCGAATTCAGCCAAATGCAGAGTCCACCCAACAACAGCAGCCGTACGTGCCTCCACACCGGCTCATACACATCGATTTCAAGGGAGCACCTCCCAAAGTAACTTACCTCCAGAAACTGTTTCCATTAATCAAGAGGTTCGGTGGCACCGGTCTTTTGCTTGAATGGGAAGACATGTTCCCCTGGACTGGGACGCTGTCTCCAATGGCCGCCGGAAACGCATATTCCCGAACGGAAATCAAAGAAATACTAAAACTGGCCGCGGCCAATAATCTAGAAGTTATCCCGCTGATACAAACCTTCGGTCACGTGGAGTTTGCACTGAAACTTCCAGATTTTGCGCACCTTAGAGAAGTCCAAGAGTCACCACAAGCGCTCTGTCCATCTTACAATGCCTCTAATAAGTTCATCGAACAAATGATCGATCAAGTAAATATCTGCCATCCACTTCTTGTATTTAATTTAATGTTCAATACCAACTTCGTTTTTCTATATATAGATCCTCGAGATTCACGGAAACGTTAACTATTTGCACATTGGCTGTGACGAAGTGTTCCACATGGGAGAATGTTTCAGGTGTAGGGCTAAGGCTCGGGAAGACTTGTTTTTGTCACATGTTAAACAAGTAGCCACGTACGTACGTGCCAAGTCCCCGAACACGATTCCCATTATTTGGGATGATATGCTGAGGCACTTGCCTGTTGCTACAATGCAGTTGTACGACATCGGGAAATTAGTAGAGCCGATGGTAAACTACAATAATTATTATTTTTATTAGCATAATTATACGTTTTTCTGAACAGGGAACTATGCTATAATTGTTTTCAAAATTATAAATTCAAATTTTTATTTAATTTTACCCCGATTCCACAGGTTTGGGTGTATGCCGAAGACGTGTACAGATTTGTCATGCAGAGCGTTTGGGAAAAATATCAAATTGTTTTTTCGCACGCCTGGACAGCTAGTGCTTTTAAAGGAGCGTTCGGAGAAACTCTGTACGTCCCGAACGTTAAGCGCCATTTGGAAAACAATTTGAACTGGCTGCAGTTAATGTCTAACGAAAACAGTCGATTCACAGGAGGTTTCAAAGGAATCGTCGTAACCGGATGGCAGAGGTATGAGAAATAATGTTTACGTCATTTTAGATTCTCAGCGGAGCAAGGAATATTTTGGTTTTAAAATGATGTTTTTTTTCCTGTGAAAAAAATTTTCTACCAGAAATTGTTGTGGTTATTGAGGAGTCAATTTTTGATTTTCTAAGTGGTTTTAAACATAATTAGGAAAACGTAAGAAGAATGTTTCTACAAAAAATATTTGTAGAGGCTTAAAATTTGGACAGAAAACTTGCATTTGCTTTTTCTAGACGTTGTCAAATTTTCAAAAAATTTAAACCATTTATAGACATTTTAATTTTACGAGTTATTACGTCATTTTTATTCGGTAGGTACTCTGTGGATGAAATCGTTAGACCAAACAAAAATACTTGAAAATATAACAGAAGGTTCACAATGAAATTGTACATTATGGTAAAAAAAAAAATTGAGTGGAATGTAGAATTTTATTTTTATAAGAATTTTAATATCAAATTTTGACGAAAATCGTAAATATCACGGCCTTTCAAAACATAGTATAACCGAACTCCGCTCAGAATCGGTTTTCGTCAACAAAGATTAATTGTTGCATGCAGATATAATGCTACATTAAATTTCCTTCTATATCCTGCCTTCCCAGCTTCTCACCTACAACAACAGCTCTCCCATTGTGCGAAGTATGTCTTTTTATTATACCTTGGTATTATATTTGGTTGTTTTATGTTCGGTTGTAGGTATGATCACTTTGCCGTTTTATGCGAGATTCTCCCGTCATCCATACCATCGATGGTTGTAAATCTCTTGGCGACTACCAACGGTTACATGAACCAGACACTGCAATCAAATTTGAACGAAGGTCTGAAATGTGGCATTTTCGGTCACACCAACGAATATGACGGAGATTTTCTAAATTTGAACAACGATCCATATCTGTGGGACCAATTCTCGAGGTGCTCCTTTCCGGGCAATCAATTTTTCAGGTATACCTATTAACTGCAATATACTTAAATAATTGTTTCTCGATTCGGCGTAATAAATAATAATATTTATAATATGATTTAATATACCAGGTTGCTGTACAGATTACAAACTATTGAAGCGGACTATAATGATTTTATTCTAGCAACTAAAAAAAATCGCGGTTGGATGACCAGTTACAACGTAGAACACGAATTTTCGTCCCCGCTTCGTGTCGACGAATTAATGAACGACCACGCTCGGATTTATCGATCGCTTTTATCGATGATCAGACCTATTCAGGAATCGTTGGCTGGAATATTCGATAAGTACACCATATCAGAATGGATAGAACAGAGGGTGTATCCAATGATCAGAGAAATGGAAAAAATACAAAAAGAGGCGCACGACTTGAAGGCCAAAAAGACGTGGCCGAAAAGACCGCTTCCGTTATTGAGGGAAATGGTTAGAATCGGAGTGATTGATCGTGAACTTCCCACTCCGTCCAGTGACGAAACAAAATAATATTAATAATATTATATAGTCTATTAAAAATACAACGTGACTGTTTGTTATGAACTAGATGTGTGTGGCATATAATATGGGTCTCGTAGAATATAAATCGAATAAAAATAATTATACATATTGTACGTTTGAACGAGACCTCAAGACATAGTATAAGTTGATAAAGTTTCAGGGTTTACGTGTGAACTGCATTTCAAAGGGTATTATCTTAAAATAAGTGATTCTTAGTTAAATGTTTGATTAAGTTTGTTCCATTATTGAATGTTAAAATAAACGTCCCCGGGCTTTTTAAAGGATATGTGCAATTTAGTAAAACAATATATAATTTTAAGTACCAACCCCTTGTAAATATTAGATATTATTATACCATTTAAAATGTATTAAGTTTTGTTTTATTCTATTAAATTATTTTATTGACACAATAACTACTTATATAAATGATGTGTGTCATGCATCAGTTCATTATAACTATTTAGACTATTAAGTTTGTAAAAAAAATTTAACTACAATTTTTTTTATTCCGTTAACTTGTTAAATTTTTTAATTGTTCAAAAGTAAAACTTATTTTATGTTACCTTATTAAATATTTAATATTAATTGTTTATTTTTTACTTTTTTCGATTTAAAATAAATTTGCCTACTAAGTATTAAACTATATACCTATTTGTTTTTGCTATTCGTTGTGAACTTTTTTTTTAAAATATATTTCTAGTTATATTTTAAACTTTAACTATCAATAATTTTTAAATATTCTTATTGAAAAGTTTTGTGTGAGTAAAAAAATATCTAAACATATATTTTTTTTTTTAAGTTTTGTACATAAACATTATAGGCTGTGTTTTATTTTATTTTATGTTATTTGGTGTATGACTTAATGGGTTGTGTGTTCTACATAACTAAGTGACTTAGATTAAGATAACTAGCTAATCCGTACTTAGTACAAATTAAGTAAAATAAAACTCTTGAAGTTTAGAACAATTATTGTTTTTCAGGGTTAAAATGCCAAATCAGTATGAACTTTTACTGATCTGCTATTGTCTCTGACTCGAGAATATTTACTATAATTTGACACACCCATTTAGTCTTAGTTTATACTTGAAGACTTGTAATCAATTCAATATTTCTGTCAATTTAAAAAAAAAAGTGTTAAGTTATATTCGTCCGTTTTAAGATTTTATCGCTATTGAAATTATAATATTTATTTAAAATAGTTAATAACTGTAATATATATTAATTCATGTGATTATTATGTTTAAAAAAAAAATATTCCAATAATATATAAAAAATATAGTAAATAAAAATAATAAAAATGATGTGTAAATATTATGTGTTATAATGTATTTGTATAAAATGGTTTCTATATTAATTTATATGCAATTAAAGTGTTTATTTACCCTCAGTTATGATTTAAGAAAATTATTTTTTTTTAAATATTTTGGTAGAAAATCTTGCAAGATAGGCTGCTGCCTCTCCTGCCTCCCCCGTAAACACGTTTATGCTTATATCTCCCTTCCTGGTCTATTTTCAAATTATTAATAGCATTTAAAAAATAAATATAATTAACTTTTATTCGACTAATTATAAAGAATGTATACAGATATGTCTACTTAAATATCACTACCCATACAGTGTATGTTATAGATTAGGTTAGGTACTTTTGTTCTACTATCTAATACTAATAGCTTAGATACTAACAATTAGTTATAAAAAAAAAATTGAAGAAATAGTTAAAATTGGCAAATTTTGACCATTTCCCTAGCCCCTCAGTACATTTGCTTCTAATAAAAATAATAATTCTTTTAAAAATAAATATTTTTTTCCAATTTTAGATCAAGGGATAGTTTCTATAAATGAAAGGTTCAACAACTGCACAAATTTAATGATTATTTAAGTTTTCTATATATTATTAGAAGTATTTCTGAAATTTATAAATTTTCATCAGCCAATTTCCGTCAACATAAGTAGCGGCCCACCGGGAAAATCCCGGTGTCCCGGTGGGCTTATCAGCCCCTGCCTATGTTATTGTAACTGTATGATTTGTCATAAATTAAAAAAGATATGACCATGACTTATATTTTTTGTAAGCTTTCAGTATAATATATTATGTTGATCATACTATTAATAGATTTCTCAATAAATTTAATAATAACTTTATACAATTAATTATTTTATTTTATTTACATAAACGGACGATATCTATGTAGTATAGCCATAGATGAATAGACTCGGTGGTGACCAACTATGGCCCACGATTATTTCTTAATTGGCCCACCAAAATATTAAATTAAAATTGAAAAAATAAATTAACTTCAAATTTTCTACAATTAACACTTACATTAAAAAATATATATATTTATACATGATAAACAATTAAATATATTACTGCACCTGTATTAAAATATTTCTATAGTAAAATATAATACTTATTCTATTAACTTAGAAGTAAAAGTTAAAATTCTTAGCCTGCCAAGAATTTTTTTTTTCCCTCTATATAAATATGTCGGTTACGACTGGAATAGACGATAGACCAAACGTCGTATCAAACGGATCAAAAGAGATAAACTGATCTAGACAATTTTAGTGATTACAGTGTGAGAGAGATTGACTATGTACCAGAGAACAGTCAATACAAAAAAAAAAAAAAAACACTTGATGTTTTTCTTATTTAGTCTTCGTATAGAATTCCACCCACTTTCACATGTTATTATACTGAATGCTCTGTCTAGATGTTTAACTGTGTAAGTCAATGAGTACAGGTTAACACAGATAACACAAGATAATAAAATAATAAAAAGTAATAATTATTTCCCTATTTTATCCATCACAGATTTCATTTACCAAATCTATTTGTATTGCATAAAATTTACGAAAAGTATGTTTGTTACGTTTCTAGTCTCTTTATAAAAATATATAGGTTTGGTCAGACTCATGAACAAAGCCTCCCCGGGTTCAACTTTCCCCCTCATTTCCGAGAAAAAATATACATTGTGTTTTTCATTTTTGATCGATTACATTAAATATTATATAATCTTATTTATACCTCCTGTATAATAATGCATAACATAATAATGATATAATGATACGCAGCTATTATGGTGTTATCGTCACGTTCGTTATCGGCAAATAACAATAGAACTTATATATAGAACACGAGTAGCACAGCGGATATATAAAAAGTAGCTCATAATCATAAACAATGATTGTGATCTTAGAGTGAGACATTTGTTAGACAAACTTACATTTGGCAATAACATCGAAACGGATATTCGAAAGATTTTCAAAAGATCACGATTAAAAACACGACGAGATAGTAAGTATATTAAAATGAATTATTATTATCGTTAGTTTTGTTTTAAATATTTTAAATACTTACTTTTTAAAATTTAAAAGTGACAAATAATATAATAGTAAGCTAAGGTCTTCGGTATTGTCGTTATAACACACGCACAATTATTTGTTATTATTATACTTTTACTGACTTAAAACATTTTTTTTTCAGTTATTTTAAATTTATATTGAATACAAAATTTAAATCTATGAAAAAAATTATTAAATTAATCTTATTAGTTTTTACATAATACTATTTACTAATCATTGATGTATCTATTTTATAGATTTTATTTTTTTTTTTTTTTGAACATGTCCCCCTCTCATTAAAAAATCCTGCGCACGGGCCTGGGTGTGGTACCTATGTTATATTCTTACGTATCCGTATTGGCCGGACACGTTTACTTGTACAATTTCAAAACATCAATAACATAATAATAAATTTTGTAAATCTAGGTTACGTGGTAGAAAATGACAAGGTTAGTATTACAAAAACAGATATTATAGAGCCCGGATATTTCGGGTATTCGTAAAGAATTTTTGGGATTCTGATACGGTATAATAAAGTAAAAGCGACATAATTTAAGTACCTTTTTCAAAACACAATCAAATACTATCATGATTTTCATTAATTTTCCAGTAAAATAATTAAATTTATATTTCCAACATATCCTAATGAAGAGAAGTTAAAGAATCGTAATCCGTTATAAAAATTGAAATCTGTCAAACAGTTTTGCCTGGCTTTTAGATCATAGATATATCGTCACTTATCACTTTAATGAAGAACAACGGTTTCGAAAATATCGTTCCACCACAATATAATATTATCGAATCAATCCGTTTTTCAGAAAAAAAGAGAATGCCCACCGCGTTAAGTTTGATACGCTAACACAAGTCACACCGGACACGAGTTATTGCCTATACGTTAGATACTTGTTTTTAGGTATTTTCGAAGATATCGCACACAATTAAACAAATGAATAATATTCTAGATTAAATAATACTATGGGTATTTAATCCAAGGTAATATAATTTATACACTTTTTACATGTTATATCCCGTACGATCAGCTTTTAACTATACTCAGTTAAAAGCTAATTTCTCATTTAAAAGGTAGGTAATATTTTTAGATTTTGGCCATTTCGCAAACGTTTCTTTTAACAAACTGCACAATTAAACAATACGTAAGTACTATTATCTACCTACTTCTAATATTGACACGGAACAGTTATGAAACTTGTACGAATTTAAATATATTTAAGTTGAAAAATTTACGAGCGTTTTTTCTTTTCTTAAAAATCATCGTTAAATAGCTTTTACGCAACCAGGCGGTGTCGCGGTCAATTGTATTCCATTAAATTTTATCTGGCCTTCCGGCAGCAGTATACTTTTAAGATTCTATGACGTTTCGCATAATGTTTTTAGGTTCGACATTGCCAAAAGAACAGATTTCGCAAACATCGCTCAGTGTAATAATACTGTATTGGGTACACGCGACATTTCGTCTCAAGGTCAAGACAAATACACGAAAGTAGTTAAATTTCGACATTGCCGTTTGCAATTTCATGTCGATATACTTAACGTCATTCCACGAAAAATGAATATTATAATATATTTGTATGGGACCGTGGAAAAAAATAAAATCTAAAAAAATTTGGAGTGACTGACCCGACCAAGAATAAGATTATAATGATCATTGAACCAAGTTTAGTTGAATTTCAATATGAATTTCACCCCGGTATTACGGGAGGAGGGTGTTTTTTTTAGCTTTGGCCCGCTATCTTAGATAAATTATGAAAAATAAACAAAATACTGTAACGGTGACAAGTCGATTGGAGGAAAATTCGACTCTATTGACGGAGTTCTGTTGCACTTCATGACCCAAAAATACACGACCCATTTATATCTGTTTTAGAACGTAATGCCAGTATATAACAATGTCGTAAGCCAGTGATCAACGGTATGAACCGTCTTAACGATATACCTATTTAGGTTCAATTTTTTCGTAAATCTGACGAAAAGAACACGAAACGTTAGTGAAAGTATCGTATTATATATAATGTTAGCGCTCTGGCCAAAATCCTATCCCGTCATCTTGGCATCGTGTTTCTTTTTTTTTTTTTGCTCGCAAAGTGACATCCGACAAAGTGAATGTAATATTATAATTATATAGGTGCGCAATATTTTTGTGGAACGCGAAAATACGTATTATAGCGGAATTTTATACGGGAGACGAACGGAAAAACATCACGTTGCCCCGTTGAAATGTATTAACAGTCTTTAAACTACCTATTATAAAATTTATTAGTTTTGAACGAGTGAAATCGTTAATATAATAATATAATTACGTGTCCGCGAAGCCGTATAAATGAAAATATGAAATTCAACCACGGTCGGTTGTTTCCGTAATTCGTGCGATCCGTTTTTAGAACTAATCGCGAATTTCTGAATATACGAAATGTATACGTAAATGTACGAATGTACGAATATGTTAAGCAAAACGCAAAACTAAAAATATCCGTGACGTACGGGCGTAGGAGTATATTACTATACGACATACTTACCTCTCTTGTCATGTTTTCACACACAACGTTCTGAATTCGACGATTTATTATCGTGCACCAGAACTGCACGAGTGCAATGGCGAATCCCAATTTTCGAGTAAGGGGAGTGCTGTTAAAAAACATAGCTTGTTTTTATTGCCTCGTTCCAACCATTCTCTATAACGACGCGCGTCCCTCCCTTTTTTTTTTTTAAAGGAATGGTCAATATCCTCATGGGGACCTCCCGAAAATCTCGCCGGTCTAAAAAACGGTATTTTACTCGACCTTTGCGTTTCCATTCAACTTGAAACGGACCCCTTCGGTTTCTTCATAGGTAATTACCGGATTAATCCCACGATTGCTATCGTTTTAGAAGATATTTTCTCTGGTATTTGAAATTGTTACGATGGCTAATAAGTTAGTGTTTTTATTGAATTTGATGAGGGGTGATTGGAGTCAATTTTCACCCCCTACATCAAAATTGTTTTTAGATTCAAAAATCTAAATTTATCCTTATTAATTGCAAAAATCTTAAAAGTACACTTAATCGTATATCGTTAGATATTACAATTTTAAGTAACATTACGCGTAAAATAATTAAGTACCTATATAATATTATGTTTTAGGTAGGTAACATTTCCAAATGGTAATGAAATACCTATTGTTTGCATTAAAACTTTCAAGTTAAACTCACATTACGAATTATGGTCATGAATCATCACAGAGTCGATGAAAGAAGAAACAATATTGTTCTCCCGTGAGACAGAGGTATTCCCATAGACTTACCTAATATTATATTATGTCTGTGCATCAGCGGTATTATCATTTGCCATTTACCTCGAACCAATATAATATTCAGGGGCGGATTTAACGATTTAGCGCCTCTATGGTAAATTAAATTTGCCGCCCTATCAATATTTTAAACTACCTTCGTTTAAAAAAAAATATCTTCTTGTCAACTAAAGCAACAAAAGTTTCCTCAACATAATCCCCGAGATGGTAACCATTAAATAGTGTTCATACATTAAAAAGTATTTAATTATTTTTATAAAGTTTAACTAGTTTAAGAAGTTTATAAAAGTTATGTAGTTTTTTTGTTTTCATTTTTTATTATTATATTTGTACGAGTATTTATATTTTATACACATTTAACAATTTTATTTTTTTTCGTTTTTAAACATTAATCATTTTTTTTTTTTTATTTAGAAAAGGAATGAAGTAGGCTCATCCAGTTGTCCAGCAGCTTCAGCCGCACACAAAACTCTCAAAGATGCTTTATTGAATATAGTTAAACACTTCAACCGACCTTTCGATTCGAACAATTCAAGATTGAAACTAAACTAATTTTTTATTGTAAATTAATTTTGAGTTCCCAAGTTTAGAGTAAATTAAAAATATATATTAGAACATTTTAAAAATATAGTAGTTGCATGCGGTAATAACGCATCGTGTGGCCAGGTATATCATTGCGGCGTCACCGCGATTTATTTTGCCGCATGTGGCCACACCGGTACGATATATTCCACTTTTAAGTTTGGGTTGGAGGAGTGTAGTGGAGTATTATTTGTGTGGAAGTACGACGCGCGGCGTGTTTATAACGCATCCCTACTCTCCTCAGACCCAAACTTAATAGTGGAATATCTCGTCAACGGCTCGACAGAAATCAAAAATTTCAACACCAAAATTTATTTCAACTAATACTCCATCTATGTATGGGCTTATAAACATATGTTGCCGCTTGAAAATCAAAAGTAGGTAGTGGTTTTAGTCCCAAAAATAAGGGTGACAAAAAATAACATAATCATAAAATTGTAGAGCAGCTTGTTTCAAATGTTCTAGAAAACAAATTCCGAAGAAAGTCAATACTTTCGAGATAATGAGTGTACCCACTTAAATGGATCACCTGGTACATTCTATAAGATAAACAAAAAAATTAGCTATATAATAAAGCATAATCGTTGTCGTCATTGACGCGTTCGTAGGAAAAATAGATATAATTTTGCTAAAAATAAAACGAATGCAAAATCCAAATACACCGGTCATCGATCAACATTTTGAAATGGTATAATTGAAAAAAAAAATTGTAATTGTAAATTATTTGTAATGCATAAAAACAAAATAAATATTCAACACAATTTTGCCGCCCTATGCGACGGCGTAGTTCGCAGTGTCTCAGTATTTGTAGAAGTTCCTTTAAAATATGTCATTTGGCGTATCAACTAGATGTGTTTATCACAAATCATTTGATAATATCTGGTTGGATTGGACTGTTGTTGCAACTCACCCGCGGTTACCTTTGTAACAGGTTTATACGTATAAATATATTATATTTTTAAAACAGAAATAGGCATACCTTCTGTATCTATTATCTATAATACCGATACTGGATATCGAGCTGAAAGTTGGGAAACAATTGGGCACTCCTAATCACTTTCAACCCTTCTACAGTTAAAAATATGATTGTACGCAAAATGTCTTATGAAAAAGGTCGAAAAGAACAATAATGATGCGCAAATGATACAGGCCCCGTGCGTATCACACATTATACAATAAGTATACGCATCAACTAAAAAATCGAGAAGTGGTTATACGCCGTGTATATACCTCCCCTTCATTACACCACTGCACTACACTAAGTAGAATTTCTAATTTAAATGGAGTTTTTCGTCGACAAACGACTGCATTTTCGCACACCTCAACGCGGTTGAATGCCCCCGTGCGATTTGTTCCTATTTGTTTGCATTTTTTTTTTTTTTTCCCCCATAAATTATGTTACGTTGTCGCGGTGAATTTATAATGAGTAACCATCGCTGGACCTTGAAGAAAAAACCCACAAGGACGTATGTGACGCGTCGTAACCGCTTATAGAGTTCAAACCGTGAAGGTCATCGCCGTGACCGTATACCTAGGTATTGCATATTATGGTACCTAACCAATGGACGGGTAGGTAAGTAACCATTTTGTTTTTACATTGCAGTTTTTCATCATCGGTTGTTGCGAGATCGGTTTATAAAACCGTCACTATACACCCTCCATCTTCTCTAAATCACCCAAACGTTGTACAACTTTGGCGTGATAACGGACCATTCGGAATGCTCGATTTTTTATTTATGAATAGGTAGGTAAGCAAATCATAAAAACATCAACTATACGAAAACATACGGCAAGGTTAGAGCGGTAACGGCGGTAACAACAGCTGTTAACGTTTTGAGCCTGATTTTCTGATAACAGATACATAGATAATGAACTTGTTCAAGTTTAACTCGCAGCCCGGCGTGAACATTGGCGTTGACCATAAACCACAATATTAATATTTAATCGACATGCCGTAATTAATTTGCATTAAGTGTCTTGTAAACCGGCTAGCAGCGGTATTCACTCGGTTTCAGTATTTATATTTTAATCGCAGCATAATATACGCAATATATAGTTTTGTATTCGAAACTTTTGAGTACAAAACAGTCATTAATTTTGATTTTAATCTGTTGTTTTTTTTTGTTTCGGTTCGTTCAGTGGTAATAGCGCGACAGAAGAATTTACTCGCAGATAATAGAGAAACTTCTTTCATTGTTTATCTATGAATTTACAACTCTATGACCTGTGCATATTATCAAACGCGGTGTCAGATTATAGTAACGGCGCGCCGGTAACCTATCGACCACGACGGACTAATAGATAATATAAGTGCGTCTTATTCGTAATATTATCTAATACTTGTATTATCTTAGGTCCGTGTTATCGGCCGACGGCTGTTTACGTTGTTATCAGTACGATTAAAGATATACTATCTCTAGGGTTATATCGGGGTTATATTAGATATATATATATATATATAAAAGGTATATCTTTAATCGTGGTTATCAGTAGCGTGCAGCTGTCTCGCGTCGACTGTGTGCTTCGTTGTTATTATTATTATTATTATTATTATTATTATTATTGTTCCATTCGTAACGAGGACCGCATTCGGCTTGTGCGTACGTGCAGGTTGTCCGTGTTGTTCTCGCTCCTCGGTTCGCGTCCGTGATCGTGTCGCGTGCGCGTGTTTCAGTACGTGCGCGCAGCGTTCCCGTGTGTGTCGCTGGTGAGTTTGTGTGTGTGTGCCCGAGCGCGCGCTTGTGTCTCAGTTTTCTGCGCGCATCGATGTTTTCTCCTTCGACTGGTCTAAAACCGAAGATTTTCTCAGCCACAGCCGCAGTCAAGTCACCATCGTTCCGGTAAGTCCGTACGTCCCGGCGGGCATTCTCGCCGCGTATCCCTTTCGGGGGGTTTTTTTTTCCAGACGGTTCTCGGACCGCCGCCGCCGATTTCGACGCGACCTATTTGCCGCCACCGGTCCAAGTACCGCGCCGTAGGTACACTGACTCATTACGAACCCAAATGAGAACCCGTTCGAAACGTCCTCGCTTAAACCGCTTAAACCTACTAGCGGAGACGACCGGTGGTGTAAAGAAAACAAACAAACACGTCTGCCTAAACACCTCTACCGTCGGATAATGTGAAATTTCCGTTTCCAAAATTATCCGTCGTCTAGGTGTACTGGTAAAACGCCTAATGACCGTTTTTTGTTTGATTGTATTGCAGATAGATAAAATATTAAAATGACCGCGTGATGGGACGTAATCGCAAGAAACGGACAAACCACAGCGTTGTCAGTACTGATGTTCCAATGTCGAAGCGCAGTGACTATGTCGACCTGTGTCGTAACATCATTCGCGATATGGACCTGTACGGAGTTTGTGTATTGGACAATTTCCTTGGTTATGAACGTGGAATGTCTGTTCTCAACGAGGTGATGAATCTTTACAGTATGGGTGTGTTCAAAGACGGTGAATTGGTCCGAAACAAGGCCAGCAATAACCTGAAAACAATTCGAGGCGATGAGATCATCTGGGTGGACGGTCGAGAGAATAGTTGCAAACACATCGGACAGCTTATTAGTGATGTCGACTCTGTAGTCATGGGATCAAATCAGATGAACGATAATGGAAAGTTGGGAAATTACACCATTAACGGTAGGACCAAAGTAAGTTACTGACAGGTTTTTCCTTTTATTCGCCTATCTAGGGCACAACCACAAATGTTCAATCATTTTTTGTAGTCCAAATCTTGAAATAAATATTGTTGACAAACGTGTAAGATTTAAATGACATAACTTTAGGAAACTCAACTATTTAAAACCGTGCTTGATAAATAGAGAATTTTAAAATATTACTTTTCAGTTTGTTAACAATTTTTTTTTGTTCATACAAAACTAAACGTACAATATTATTTTTGTAAATATGATAAACATTTTAATCAAAACTAAATTACCTAATAAATGGGGTAGTTAAATAAGAGTTAAATAGAGTTCATTTCCATTTAATATTTTGCTTTGAATTGGAAATTTTTTAATTTTTTATCATATTTGTTTGTTGTTTAATATTTAAATTTAATTTCATATTTTAAATATGTTTTTATAATAATAATAAAAAAAAAACGAAGTTAACAAATTAAATAAGAGTAAAATGTGTAAACGTAATTTATGTTCTGTTCTGTTTATAAAAAAGTATAATAAATAACTTATGCACATTTTTTATAAGTTATTGCTTTAAAGAATTTCTTTGTAGGAATGGTAAAAATTAATTAAAATATTGATTACAAAAAAAAATCCCACGTAACACTATACGCTAAAATAAATTTATCGTTATTCAATGTTAGTAATAAAAGTTTCATAAGTTCTTTTTTATCTAATTAATTAACATTATTTATATCATGTATGATTCATGAACAATTATATACATTTATGTACATTAAAATATAATATGGTTAGTTTTTTTAATATCTATTATAAAAAATATAATTTGAATAGGTTACTAGTTTACTTTTTGCATAGGTTAATATTAATTAATTATATTTGTATTAATTTTTCATTAACATAATAAATACATAATAATGTATTAATTGTTTTAATATTCTAAAATATAATAATTGTTTTAACATTATATAACATACCTAACAGATCAATCAAAGGAATTTTTATTACTAATAGTTTTTACATCACTGCAGTACAGCATATAAGGCAGCCTTAACCACAATTTCTAGTTTTTTGTGTAATATATGTTTAAATGATTTCTAATTTAGTTTTGTCTTTATACTAAATATAGCCAACTACAAATATTTGTTTGACATATACCTTGAGGGAAATTGTTGACCTCTAAACTGTACAGTATCATTACAAGGTCTGAAATGAAATTATCCAAAGAATAATGAATTCAACTCTAATCAAATAATTTGGTTAAAATTTAATTAAAAATTTGTCTGTATTTCTGCAAGAAAGTAGTTTTGTTAAACAATATAAAACATCAACTATGTCTGTATATTTTGGAAACTGTTTCTATATTGTTCTTCTGTAAAAATACAATTATTATTTTTGGATTAAAAAAGAAAAAAAGGTTCCGACATAATTGTATAAATCTCAGCTGAACCCTTTTGATACAATTAAAAAAAAATATATGGGATGAAAAGGTGTAGATACATTATTGATTGTTAACCCTTTGAAGCCGTTGCAGTATTATAGTGGAATTGCCTATTTTTTTTTTTTTTATATCTAAAAGTGCTAAATTTTAATATTTTTCAAAAAAAATGTGTTCTTTAAAGGGTTAACATTTAAATGTAATGTGTATGCATGTAAAAAATATATTTTAAAAATAAAGTTAAAACTCAAGTATTATTAAATAAATTTTAAATCAACGGAAAAAATTTTGTTACTATTTTATCATATTATTAATGAAACATTTATGTGAATCATATATTATTAGTAATTTTCATTTTTTTTTTTATTATTAGGCTATGGTTGCTTGTTATCCTGGTCACGGATCTCATTATGTCAAGCATGTTGACAATCCAAACAAAGATGGCCGATGTATAACTGCTATATATTATTTAAATAAAGACTGGGATATTAAAGTAAGTGTACTCAAGTAAAATATTGGTAAATGTCCAAGATTTATATTTAGTTGCTTTTATGATATCTTTTTGTTTTACAAAGGTTAGTTATGTTCATATGGTTTTATTTTTATTGATAGTCTCATTTTATTCATAATATTAAACATGCAACTGAATTACTCCAAGTAAAAAGTAAATAAACAAGTTTATACACTTCCTGTTATGTTTATAAAATTTAAACACGTTTTACTAATGTGTTCGTTTATAACAATTTCTTATAGTTTTATAATTTTTCTTTTTATTATTAAACTATGGCTATTTACATATAATATAACATTGATAAAAATTTAAAATTTCCATTAGTACAAAAAAAAAAAAAACTGTTCAAGGAAGTCATAATATTTATTCTTCTTGTCGTTAGATAAAATTGGTTAGTGACATTGATTTTTTTTTTTAAAATGTTTATTTCTTATTATCTATGATTATTTTATATTAATGATTAAATTGAAATAATACATATTATAGGAAAACGGAGGTTTATTAAGAATATTTCCTGAAGGTTGGAGTGATCAAGTAGCAGATATCGAACCATTATTTGATAGAATATTATTTTTTTGGTCCGATCGAAGAAATCCCCACGAAGTTCAGCCAGCATTTAAAACAAGGTTAGATTTGTTTGTTTTACCAAATATTAAATCTCGTTAATAAAATTGTGTGTGTGTTAATTTATTTTAGATATGCAATAACTCTGTGGTATTTTGATGGCAATGAGAAAGAAGAAGCAGGGAAAAAATTTCACGTTGCAAGTCAGTCTAATATCTGTTGTTTCGAAAATGTTTGTTATTTATAAATCATAGAAGAAGTTTATTTGAGTTTTAATATATTTGTTTGTTTTTGTATTTCCAGGCGACTTAAATAGTATGCTCCATAGTCCCGAAAATATCAGTAGTATCCCATCTGTGGATAATCTGAATCTGGGCTTTTGAATCTGTGTATCGATTTTGTTTAAGGAACCTCGAGTTTACTCTTTCTCTAGACAAAGATCTATTGTGCTGAAGTTGATTCACTAATGGAAATAATGTTTTTTTTTTTTTTTATCTGTGGTTTTGCGAACTGACCTAGGTGTAATTGATTCTGTTATTATTGAATTAATTATTTTGTTGATTCGTAACGAGTGGCTCAATCTATATTTTAATCAGGCAGTTCATGTATGTATGTATATATATATACATATGTGAAAAATTACAGTATTTTTTTTATACAAAAAAAATATATGAAAAAGTTTGTATATTTATAAATACATACATACTTGTATTTGAATATAATAACAATTTTGTAAATTTGTTTTTGTTTATTAATTAACTATCATTACAGTTATGGAGTCTTTGAAAGCAACACAATAATTTATTGTTAATTAGTGCAAATACTTTGTTACCATTATGTTGTAAAATTCAAATACTCACGCAAATTTGAATTAAGTGTAATACAATATAATATTTTAACTCCTCATTTGTTGATGGATTGTGTATGACTATTATAAATAAGTATAATTATAATATTATCTCATGTAATTTGAGCGGAAGTGAATACTGAATATGTTCCGCTGACACTACTAATTTTTAGTGTTATATTTGTGTGTAAAAATATTTATTAGTAAATCTACTTCTCCATTGATTTTTGTGATATAGTCTATTTTGTGATAACATTCTTTTCATTAAAAAAATGAAAAACTACTGTTCACAATATTCATGTTTTATTATCTCGTGAAAAAAAAAAATAAAAACAAAATAACAAACTTAACTATGTTCCAGTCTTTTACTTATTAAATTTAACAATTTTTTTTTTTTTTATTATTATAATAAAATACTTAAATAATTTAAATTAAAGTAGTTTTATTAAAATTATGAGTTCAAACAAAAATAATAAATACATGTTATTTCATTTTACATTTTTTTTTTTTTTTGTACATGAAAATAAAAATTTTTGTATTTACAATTGTACAAAATGTTTTTGTTCAAAATTGTCACTAGAGTTAATAGCGTTGCATTGATTAATTTCAGTCCAGTTCATTTGGTTTGAATATAACCAAGGATCTGTGGCGTATTTAACCATGACGCACCAGCATATTAGTCCAATCAATGATAGTGCGAGTAAGCAACTGCGTTTAGGCTCTTGAAATTGAAACATTTCTGGAAAGTCTGGAAAACCCATATGGTTGCAAAACTGATGGGCCACTATTGGTGCGATTATATTACCAGTGTAAATGAACAAAAATGCCGAATATGCCCCGAATATTGTTGTATACATAAACTGAAACACTGGTGCAATAAATATTTTTAAAATATTTTGTTTTTGTAATCCATGTCGGTCATATTATTTTGTACGTACAATTTTTAACAAACGTGTACAAAATATGGTCGAAATATTGAAATAAATTTTACATTTTCCTTTATTATGGAAAAATCAAACAAAACATACCTGATATTAAAAATGCATCGAGACACACTGTACCAGCTCGAATTCTTTCTATCAATTGGTGGAAATGAGCTAAATAAGAAATATATTTTCAATCTATATATTATTTAGTAGAATATAATATCGGTTACCTGCTCCGAAAAACACGGGACAAATGAACACAGAGGTAAATGGCTGATAACATTGAAGTAATAGAGGTATAATACACGCTCTAAATGTAAATTCTTCTGATATTGGGGCGACAACACAATTTCTAAGCCAAATTAAATCAGTCAAATTTGATTTTACATTTTCAATGCCTGAGGAGAATGATCAATTTTATTTGATTATTTACATTTTATCATGTAGATTTAAGGAATTTATAATATAATTACTAATGACTTGTTTTAATTGAGTGCATTTACAACAAGCCAAACAGATTGGACCCAAAAACAATACACACGTTAAGAACAGCGATGCTGCTGCCGATATAAATAGTCCGTTCCATTTCAAACCCAACCAATACCATATGGGCACCTACAAATATTATTATTCTAAAAACGTTTCATGTACTTTTAAGATTACGTTTAAATTTGATGGTCATATTGTAAATATTAAAATAATAATATTATGTCATCGGTAACTTTACTTATCTAGAGAAAAACGGCCAAAATCTTACTTGAGTTTTATCGTGGATAAAATACCAGGTGTACAGGGGTGAAAATATTAACATAAACAAAACGCTAAGAAATCTTTTCTTTATAGTCGACGGGTGATCTCTAAAACGTAATGTGCAACAAAAAAAATTAAAAATCAAATACATACAGAATTATTGCGAAGTATGTTGTGACATTGTGAGATATTTAAAAAAAAAAAAAATATGTATAATTACGTACCTCGAATGTTGAGAATTCCATACATATAAACTGGACACGTATATCACAGACAGGAAGAGACTTTCCAGTACACATTTTGTGTAACAACATTGGGAATTTAATTCGTACACGTTCATGATATGAAAGATTATAGTATTATCATTATTATTCTATGGCGAATAATAATTTGAAAAGAAAAAAACGTCTGCAATTCGACAATGTGTTCGTAGGCACCATAATAATATTATTATACATAATCCATTAATTACGACAAAATGCAAGGCGACGTTCAGATAATTTCCAGAGTGGGAGGGGAGGTAAACGGGCTGATACGGACGATTTATTCGGCGGGGGCGGGGGTGTGTGTGTGTGCGTGTGTGTAGTGATCCGGATGATATATAGTAACCATTGATTAAGCATACGTGATTCAAGTTGTAAAACAATCAATCAACCCGTCCGCAGGACCTATTTCTTTTAAAATGTCCATTTCGCACAAATTTTCCCAACTTGTTATCATTAATTGTATAGGTATTACGTCCGTCGATTATTTCTTATCTTCTTTTTTTTTTTTTTTCTGATTTGCAAAACTTATCGTAGACACGTTAAGGTTATAAATAATTATATTTGTTCGAATTTAAAACAATTTACCTGCACTTTATCAATACTCAATATGTAATAATTTATGCAATAACTCACAATGGCGTCAATGTATATTTCGGTGGTTTAAAACGAAAACTGGGCGATTTTGTACTATACGACTACGGCCATTGAAACAATACAATTAATTACGTTCTACCGACGATTTCAATAGCAACGTTAAAATGTACGCAATTTTTTTTATATCCCAACATTTACAAATTATACTATCGACGGGGGGCGTTTTTTTTCTAAACGTTACAAGTTATATTTTCACCGGAAATTAATTTATTCATGGCGTAATTTTGCATAATTGCATGTGTGTTTTCCACACGACATTGCGGTGAACGCCGGAAAAAAAATTATTATTGCAAATTTACCTCTTACTCGAGAAAAACGTATACTTAGCGGGTTTTAAAATTTCGGCATATTCGCGAGTGCCTATAGGTGCTTAATAAGTTATCTTGTAAAGGAACACTTACGGATAAAAATGAAAACGCTGTACAGCGGATTTCGCATAGTTTTTAGTCATTATCAACAATCGGTAAGTAGGAAAAAAAAAAAAAAAGGGACATTCGAATTAATTCAAACGGATCCTACGCGACCGCGACACGATGACCTCGTCCTAAATAGCATAGTGTTATTATTATTATTCTATCTGCTGTGTTCTAAACCTTGGTCCTAGATAGTTGTTGTGAAAAAAAAAAAAAAAAACAACAAAAACTCGATAGCCGTTATCAGCTTTTATTTATCAGTTGTTTGATAAGGCGGACAATGAACAGTTGCAATGGGACCGCAGTTGCGCGCAGGGGAAAACAAAAACGTGGGAACATAATATACGAATAATATTTAGTGGCGTTGTCGCGAAAACCACAAACGTTCGCGAGTAAAAGTAAAACGTCGAGAACATTCTGCGCGCGATACCTGGTGTAGGGGCCACGGCGGGTGAATTTATCGTGGTCGGCGGCGGACAGCGGGACAGGACGAAACGCAATCGGAACGTTCATTACGGAACAGGGCGACGGCGATACTTTTCACTCGGTCGTCCGCCGCCGCCGCGCCGCCCGCACGCCGACCGGCCAGCCGTCGGGTCCCCCTCGCGCCGTCCCGACACCGTACGCCCGTCTGCTCCGCTACCGCGACGGCGGCGGTGAATGCCGTCTATTGTCCGGGGCGTCACGTGACCGGTTCCCGGACGCGGCATTGGTTCTGGGGCGCCTCCCCTCTCCTCCCTCGCCCATTTGCCCGACCGCATACCCGGGCACCCCGTAACGTAACCCCGCGGAACGGGCCGTCGACGGCGGCGAAGACGACGACGGTCTCGGTTCTGTGCGCGTACGCGCTCATTATTATTATTATTATTATATTTTTCATTAATGGTCGTCGTCGACGGTCGGCCGCCGTCGTCCGCGGTCGGGCCTCGCCACCCCACCGTGTACGCGTACAGTAGTAGTAGTAGTAGTAGTAGTAGTAGTAGTAGTAGTAGTAGTATATAATAGTAGTAAAGCGTATAGTAGCGACCGGCTGCTTTGAGGAATGACGGTCGGGCGGCCGTAGTGGGGCGCCGAGTAATAGTACCCGCGCGGGCGCATGTGTGTGTGTGTGTGCGCTGTTCGCGTGCGTGTGTGCGGACCGTGAGAGCCGTAGTGCGTTGGTGCGTGTGAGTGCGCGAGTTAGCCCGTGTGCGTGAGAGAGAAAGAGCGAGCGAGAGAGTGAGAGGAACGTGGAAAAAAAAAAAAAACAAAAATGTCCGTGCGACGTCGTCGTTCATGACCAGCAGCTCGGAGCAGCTGCCTCCTTTCTTTTGTCTCGTCGCCGCCGACCGACCACGAGAGTTTGCTCGTGCGTGCGTGCGTGCGTGCGTGTCGGCGTATACCCGACGTCTATGTACTCCGTGCCGAGCGCGCGCCCGTGAGCCACACAATACTCGCGAGTTTTTTCCTTATTTTTTTTTTTTCTCTCTACCGCGCGCGTTGCGTTCGTGCGCGAGTCCGTGTCCCGCGTCCGCTGTTCACGTTCGCGGCCGCGGGTACGTGTGCGGCCAGTGTGTTACCGTGTGTGAACGCCGTCGTCGCGTTCGCCAAATACGCTCGTACATACGTATATAATACATTATAATATATACATTGCATATATATGTATTTTTACGCGTTTCTATGCACGTAGAATTTTTTCACAAACACATGTATAGTAATTTTAAATATTTTTACTCGTAGCTAGCTGTAAACGTCATTGTTACCGTACCCGAACAATTTCGATTGATCGAAAATTGTATTTACCCGCCACCCTAGCCGCGTGCCCAACGTACCCGTTACAATGTTCAATATCAATTCGCCGTCGGTGATAGTATCGTCGTGAAATACTGTCGGGCGAACGTTCGCGTACGTCGCGTCTATTAATAGCGCACGAGTATTCGAAATCAAATCGAATGTGCGCCGGCGTTTTGTAAATAACAATAATAATAACAATAATAATAATAACAATAATCATAATAATAATAATAATAATAATAATAATAATAATAATAATATTATCTATTTTATTATCGGCTATAATAGTAGTACGCCGCTGTCGTGGTAGTGGTGTATAGTAGTACTAATAGTAACAGTAGTAGTAGTAGTAGTAGTTGTAGTAGTGGGTACGGGCGCGTGCGTGCGTGCGCGTTTACGAGAGTATCAGTACAACAGCAGTCGTCGCTATCCGTGCGCGCGCGTGTGTATGTGTGTGTGTGTGTGTGCGTGTGAGTGTGCGCGCGTGTGTGTGCGCGTGTGTTATTATTATTATTGTGTGTACGTGTGCTGCGCGATCGCGGTGTCCGTATGCGTCGGTAAAAGTAAAACAATAAATAAATATATAATACCGCCGCCGCCTTCGAGAACGACAGACGCACGGACAATCGATAGGAAATCTGTCGGTTCGTTTTACTCGCGTTCGTCCGGGGTCGCAGCCGCCCGAAACGGCGTTCGTTTCATGTCAATCGTTTTCGTCCCGCGTCCGTTTCGCCGTCGCCGCCGTCGGGTCGCGCGCGACGCCTTTTAAAAATTGTACGAAAAACGTCCACGAAGAGAATGCCGAGCGCGTCGTTCAGCACCACCCGGTCGTATACGCGGAGGACCCGGAGAAAAGGCACCAACGGCAACCGCCTGCCCGTACCGTCCAGGACGTCCAATTCCGGTGAGTTCGTACCCCGTCTAATGACTACATACCGTAACCGACGACTAAATAGGTACACCCAGGCCATTAGAATAGGCCCTTCAGGCATTGCGGGCCGTTCGATAGCCCGTTTTCAAGGCCTGCCGTCGATTCGGTACGAACCGTCCCGGTCTCGTGTCCCGCGAATGTTATCCGGTTCGGGTCTTTTCGGTAGGGTACTATTGTTGGGTTAACCGCCCCGAGCCCTGTTTCGGCCGTCCCGAGGCACCGTAAATTCCAAAAAAACCCCCCCCTCTATTATAGAACCGGGCCCGCGACGGAGGCCCCGATCTTATCCGCGATCGTCGTCGCCGTGCGCGTCACCTTTGTGTCGGTCGAGGATCAGTGGGTACGCTCTGTCGTCATCGTCCACGGTATTCCTTTGTTTCGGTGTATTATTGTTACGTTCTTCTAGCCCGCGCGATATTCGAGATCTTCGGAATTCCCACTTTGTTCCGCTCATACCCACCGTCCTTGTAGACGAATCGCATTGCTTTCATACACCCACCGCGGCAATGCGGTTTCGGGATTTTTATTCACGAATAATTTGCGTTTTTTTTTTTTTTTTTTGCCGAAAATTTGATAACAATCGCCGTTCCCCAACCGGCACGCACCCCGCGTTTTTCGACACAACAGTGACGTCCACGAGATAAACACTCGGGTATTTCGAAAAACACCAGCTAGGTACTTCTTCCACTTGGGTGTATGTTTGCATTCTGCAGTCCGACCACGTAGACCGAAAACATTTGTTCGACACACCAGTTATCCGTTTTGTAAACGGCGTTTCGTTTCGGTTAAGAGTTGTTTATCCCGGGCGTTTATCGCACACGACTTCTGTCGATACTTCTAACAATGTTTGCCCGGTAAATTAGACCGGCGGTGCGCACCCGAACACGAACGGTCTTCGGTGTTCGATTTGTTGTTATCGATTGGAAAGTCGAGTCTGAATTTCAACGAGAATACTTGATAAATGCGCCAAACGTAAATTATGACGACAATTTTTTTTGGAATTCTAAGAACAGTGCATGAGCGATCGGACATTGACCGTGTGCATAGGGTCACCTACCTACTTAATTGTTTTCTAGGCTTTGTAACCGAAACATTGATTAGGGTATTCTTAATTAAAAACAACAATCTGGATGAACAACGGTAAGTAATAGGCAATAAACCGGAGCCTGTCCCAGCTATTAGATTTTCATAAACAATGTGTAAAATATCGACTGTTCATCAATCAGACACAGTATACAAACCTTACACACCACGGGTTTTATTGTAGGTAATATAAAATTGAATCTTGTTTCAAGCATTCGAGGAGGTTTTTTTTTTCATTTTTTTTTTTTTTTGCAAAGAAAAAGAAATCACGGTTAAACCAAATAGATAAATACATTTTCATCGGTCGGGGCCTTGAAAACATTAATTTAATTCAAAGCATTGAAGCGTTGAACTAATACTTGTATTTAATCAGTTCTAAGTAGGTAGGTGGGTGGCGCTCATACATTTTTTCATAAAAAAAAAAAAAAAAAAAAAAAAGAAAGATTCGGCATAATATAAACATTTTCTAAATTTATTGGTTAAATGTCTGTATACTTGTAAAATAGCTTTCAATCGTTAGGTCATACAATTGTGTTTTGTTTTTGTTTTTTTTTTTTTTAGATAATTTCCAAGTAAGATCCATTCTTTGACAATTATCAATAAAAGTAAAGTTAAATTAGATACTTAGCTACTTACACTGATCAGTTGCCATCCACTAGATTGAATAACTACTTTTTTTTTTTTTTAATGCCTTGATTACTGTAATTTTTGTCTTTTTCACCGTTCGAATGGCGACGTTCATTTATGTAACATGTTGGATTTGCCGATGACTCAGACATCATTAACTGGCAATACTAAATTTATTACAAACAATTTTTTATATCCTTGAGACCTTTATGACCGGGCTTATAACACTCGGTGTGATATGACTATCGAAATTCTATTGATAGGCAGGTATACCTATCTGACGTTGTTCGCAACTACTCAATTGTACCCGTATCGCTTTAAGCTCTAAGTCAGCAAGAAAATACTCGAGCGCACCACACATACCTTAATTAGGTATAATTGAACAACGGAGCTGGCCAATGAGCGCCCACCGTTCGCCGTTTCAGAGTATCTGTAATGCTGTTCATTCATTCAGCGCGATTGGGGGGTGGGAGGGTTGGAGCGGTAGGGGTTTCAGACCGAGTGCTGTTTGTCCACGCGTATTTGTTTAGATAAACTCGGAAGTCGAGAAACGCACGTGGGCATTGTCTTTTAAAAACGTATTTACCCAATTTGATTTCGTTTGAACTTTCAAACCGTTGTTTTTTCAAAAAGCACCGTTCCGTTGCGGATTGTATAATTTGTTCCGGGGTTTAATTGTTTGTTTGTTTGTTTGTTCGCCAGGCGGAGTCGTAGAAGCCGGAGTGACATGCGAACCATTAGTGGCGGCCAGCGGGAGCTACGCCACTCCCGGAGGAGCTAGCACCAGCACGAGCTTCCAGCACGTGCCGCCGTACGATTTGCGTGGCCGGAAATCGCCGTTGCACTTGCACGACGCCAGCACCGCCGGGTTCAACGCCACGGCCCCCGTCCATCCCACCGCCACGCGCCCTACGTCGCCCACAGCGTCGGCCACCGCTTCGGTATTGCAGTCGGCCGCCACTCCACCCTCATCACAGCCCGTGCGCAAACGGCTCAGGCGGAACACATCGTGCACGATAATCAGTACCGACAGTAAGTAAGACCCGGTTGCGGGTTCGTTTCGCGCGGCGCCGCGAACAGCCCGACAAAAAGTCGTCCGACAACGGTGTGTGTTCTCCGTTCGGTCTGGTACCGCGCGGTCGCCGTCGACTTTTGGATTTCCAGCCGAACGGAACGTCCGTTCGTTTCGCCGCGGCGTGTCGTGTGGGGAGGGGGTGGCAGGGGTGTGTGTTTCGTTTGCCCCGAACGTTGCGCGCACGCTTCGTCGGCGAACAACGGACACCGCGCGTCAGAAAACGGGTTTCAATTTTGGATTTCTCGGTGTCATTCGCGGTGTCCGCCCCATGTCCGCCGACAATCGCCGAAACCTGCGCGAGTACACAAATGCGTCGGACGTTTAAATTTCAATTCTCGGCTTCACCCCCGTCCCCCCCGTCCCCTCTCTCGATCGCGTAACAACGTCAACAATAACGTTTCGCGCGTTCGAATTCGCGTTAATCAATGCCTACCACAAAGACAAAAGCGACCGGCGCCGAAGTGGCCGTTGTCGCAGCAGCGTGCAATCAACGGCGACGGCGGTAACAGTTGAACGCCTCCCGTTGTCGTTAAAACGCCGTTGTTGTCCGCCCGTTTCGCGAATTCGATCACGGCAACCGTGTACAATGTACGCCCGCGGTGTCGTTACTTGTACTCGACGACATCCCCGTCGGATCGCCGGGTTTCCGACGTGCCGCGGGCCGCTGTCGGCGGACGGCCGCACCGCCGAGGAGCCGGTCGGAAATCGCGAAAACAAACGCCGTGTTTCGTGAACGGTCAATTGTGTTTTTCCGCGCTGACCGGGCGACGGCGATTCCCGGCGGCGCGCGTCGCGGACAATTCAAAACCGAACCGGCGGCTACGATTATTTTGCGCGTCCGCGTTCGTTTCTAATGTCCGAACAATATGATTTCGTTACGCCGGATGTGATTAGAAAAAACCTAGTCGCCCGACTAATGTCGCGCACTGCCTACGGCCCATATTCCGTGTTTTCATTCCGTTCCGACGGTTTCGTTACAATATAAGGACAAATCGGTAACGGGTCTTTTTTTTTTTTTTTTTCCCCGTAAATTTTTTTCCGTTTGTTTCGCGATTGATAAACAATAATTTTCCAATTATTTATCTAAACGGCGCGGTATGCGGTTTTCGGTATAAACCGATAACCGTAATATTGTCGTTACAATATCTCCGCACGGTAGCAGCCGGTAGGTGCGGTTTTTTTTCATACATTTCGTCCGTTTGTTGTCGTTTCGGAATCCCTCCCCCATCCGCGAACGTGCCCGTTAACAACATTTCGTTAATCGGTTAAATTCCGACGCGACCGCCCCGGTTTCCGAATCGGTTATTTTGCCGTGAAAATACGACAGAATTTGTTTGTTCGGCCCTCGACGTTTTCGCGAAGGAGGGCCGACCGACGGCGGCGGCGAACGAATATAACTGTCCGTTTGATATTTTATTTAGATCGGGTCGAAAAACTGGAGCCCGTCCAAATCGAGCGCGTTTTAATTGCGGCGTTCGAAACGGAATCCACCCGAGATGCGCGCCACTCGAAACCCACTTGAATTTCACATTTATGCAACGTCGCCGCCGCGTATTATAATTATTATTAATAACCGGGGCTGCTCGGAAGTTGCATATTTTTCCGCGCGCGCTGAATTTATAGCGGACCGAGTTTGAATTAATACTTTCTGTACGACGGAGAGCTTAAAAATCGAACGTTCACAACGCGTATTCTGCACGTTTCGTCGTTGATTTCAGAGGACGCAATGTGCACGTTTCGTCGATTCTCATTGATTTTCGCGTGTGTTTTCTTCATTCTCAACCGATCTATTTTAAATAGTATTGCATTTGAAACTCAATGTCGTTTAACGCAGTTGTTTGTCCGTTCAATCCCGTTCGCAAACCGAGTTGGAACACCGGCAGCTCGGCCTGCCATAACGAATAACAAAATAATAATAAAGTAAAAACAAAATCATTTTGTTGTTTATTGTAATTTCTCGCCGCAGTCCCGGGTCCGTTGTTATCGATTTAACGACGCCGGTGCGATTCGTCGTGCCGTTTTGGTCTTAATGTTTTCTGCGCGTATTAATAACGGCATTATGTATGTTTTCGATCAATCTCTCGCGTATTTTGGATATTCGCGTACGTATTTTGCCCGTCTCAGCTGTTGTAAACCCCGAGCTCCCATTAATAACGTACGGGGCGCGTACGTTACAATCGTACTGTAACGTTTCCCGGTAGTTTCTTTCTTGTATTTTTATCAAACAGAAATTTACAATCCGTACGAGAAAACGACGAGTAAACACGCGCGGTACGACAAACGACGGGAGGACGCCCGTTATTGGCGACACCCACGTATTTTGTTAATATTTAATAAACGTTCGGGCAAAACGACTGTTGATTGATATCTACATTGACGTTTGCGTTTTGCAGATTCGAATTCAGCCGCTCATTATTTGCAATGCGAATTGCCGGACGAGGTCATGTTGACCATATTCAAATACTTGTACGAAAAGGACCTGTGCCGGATAGCTCAAGTGTGCAAGCGGTTTCAGGCGATAGCCAACGACAACAATCTGTGGAAACGGCTGTACCAGAGCGTGTTCGAGTACGACACGCCGCTGTTCCACACGGAGCCCGGCAAGTTCGAATTCGTGCCGTTCGAAGAGAGCGAACACCATAACCCGTGGAAAGAGAGTTTCAGGCAGCTGAAGAAAGGATGCATACACGTGCGCCCGCAGTACAACGGCACCGCCAAAGACCCGACCAGGAAAATGCCGCATTTCGAGACGATCCAGAACGCCCTGGACCACACGGACGAATGCGTGAACGGCAGCTTGAAAATATTCCTGCACCCGGGCTTGTACCGGGGCGAGTTTTTGGTGGTCGATTCGGACGTGTCGATGATCGGCGCCGGGCCCGGCGTGGTGGCCGAAGGCGTGGTGATCGAACGCGAAACCGAGTCCACCGTCATGTTCGTGGAGGGCGCCAAGAACGCGTACCTGGGACACGTCACGTTGAAGTTCACGCCGATCGTCACGTCCACCGTGCCGCACCATAAACACTTCTGTCTGGAGGTGGGCGAGAACTGTTCGCCGACCATCGACCACTGCATCATCCGGAGCTCGTCGGTGGTCGGGGCCGCCGTGTGCGTGAGCGGGGCCGGCGCGAATCCCAGGATACACCATTGCGACGTCAGCGACTGCGAGAACGTCGGCATCTACGTCACCGACCACGCGCAAGGGACGTTCGAGGACAACGAAATCTGTCGGAACGCCCTGGCCGGCGTCTGGGTGAAAAACCACGCCAATCCGGTGATGCGCCGCAACCACATACACCACGGCCGGGACGTGGGCATATTCACGTTCGACAACGGATTGGTAAATGCTATTATCCATTAATCGTTAGAGTCTAACGCGTTTTCGCTTCAACAGCATAGTGTAATTGGTGTTTTCTGTTTCGAACACAGGGATTTTTCGAAGCCAACGACATACACAACAACCGGATCGCCGGTTTCGAGGTAAAAGCCGGAGCGAACCCGTCCGTGGTGCAGTGCGAAATCCACCACGGCCAGACGGGCGGCATTTACGTCCACGAAAACGGTCTCGGTCAGTTCATCGACAATCGGATCCACAGCAACAATTTCGCCGGCGTCTGGATCACGTCCAACAGCAACCCGACGATACGGCGCAACGACATCTACAACGGACACCAAGGCGGAGTGTACATCTTCGGCGAAGGCCGAGGGCTGATCGAACACAACAACATATACGGTCAGTGTCGAAAACCCGTCGTCTCATTATTTTCATACCGGCCAATCCCGGTCGTGTATTGTGCACGTTGGTTGTCGTTTTAAACGTTCGATCTTTTTTTTTTTTTTTTCTATTTCCATCACAGGCAACGCGCTGGCCGGCATTCAAATCCGTACCAACAGCGACCCGATAGTCAGGCACAACAAAATCCATCACGGTCAACACGGCGGGATTTACGTGCACGAGAAAGGCGCCGGGCTGGTCGAAGAAAACGAAGTGTACGCCAATACGTTGGCCGGTGTTTGGATTACCACCGGCAGTACCCCGGTGTTGCGGCGCAACCGGATACATTCCGGCAAACAAGTGGGAGTGTATTTCTACGACAACGGCCACGGAAAACTCGAGGACAACGATATATTTAATCATTTGTATTCCGGCGTGCAAATAAGGTGAGCGCGGTGAATAGGAACAGAAAAACCGTTTCAGAGGCGCTTAGCTTAAAAAAGGGGTTTTAAGTGACATTTTATCGATTTCGAGAAAAAAAAAAATCAAGTTTAAAGTTATTCGTATTCAATATTATTATTATTATTATTATTATTATAGTGAAATATCATCACTGTTCTTGTGTTCGAACTGTATAAAAAAATGTTTTAGACATTTGGCAGTTACTCTTAACACGAGTGAGTGTTGCGGACGTTTGTACCTATTTACTTCTAATCTATTATCGTTTTAAATCGCAGAAAATTATTCGTATAATTTTCTTACATTTCTTTCCCGCGTAATAAAATAGAAAATGTGTATTTTAGCTGGGCGTTTAACTCGGGTTTTTTTTAAAAATGTCACTTACACCCCTTGTGTACCTCTTTTGTACACGAATCAAATTTATTATCGGTTGATGAACAATACAATCAAAACATCTAAATGTTGTGGAGATTTTATTTATTGAAAACACATTTTTACACCGGTATTTCTAAATAATTGTTAAATATATCATTTCGCGTTATATTTATGGATTTTGTAATTTTTAGAACTGGTAGCAATCCGATAATCAAAGGAAATAAAATTTGGGGAGGTCAAAATGGCGGAGTGTTGGTGTACAACGGCGGGTTAGGAGTATTGGAACAAAACGAAATATTCGATAATGCAATGGCCGGTGTTTGGATTAAAACCGATTCAAATCCAACACTCAAACGTAACAAGATCTATGACGGCAGAGACGGTGGAATTTGTATATTCAATGGAGGAAAAGGTATGTTTGTTCGATTATATTGAAATAAATGATTGAAACTGTTTGTTTTAGTACATTAATATGTTTTTATTTAGTTGCTTAAAATAACTATTATTTAACAAGTATCTGTTTTGGCTACTTTTGAACATAAAAATATCAAACGAAACAAACTTATTCAGTATGGTTAGAATTTAAAAATTATTGCTTGTTAACATATTAGTACGCAATTTATAACCGTATTGTGACTAGAATTGAACATTGTTTTTTTTGTACGTTTTTAGGAAATTTAGAAGAAAATGAAATATTTAGAAATGCCCAAGCTGGTGTTTTAATATCGACACAAAGTCATCCTACGCTGAAGCGCAATAGAATATTCGACGGCTTAGCGGCCGGCGTTGAAATCACCAATAACGCGACAGCAACCTTAGATAGTAATCAAATATTTAATAACCGTTTCGGTGGTCTCTGTTTAGCCAGCGGGGTACAACCTATTGTTAGATGTGAGTTTATTAAAAATGTGTAAAATATTATTTTTAACTTTTGATGAACGCTAATAATAATAATAATAATATTGCTTTTTTTTTCTTTAGCCAATAAAATTTATAGTAATCAAGACGCTGTCGAAAAGGCAGTGTGCAACGGTCAATGTTTATATAAAATATCCTCATATACGTCATTCCCGATGCACGATTTTTACCGTTGTCAGACGTGCAACACAACTGATAGAAATGCAATTTGTGTAAATTGTATAAAAACTTGCCATGCTGGACATGATGTCGAATTCATAAGGCATGACAGGTACGTTGAGCAACATTGTTGTGCAGTTATATGTATACATATTTTATTTTATTATTAAAAAAAATTATTGTATCGATATGGTAGCAAGTATTAATATAATATTGTATGTAATTGTCAGTGATACATTTGGAATAATTTTAAATGTTAATGTTGGTGTTCACTCGTAGGTTAGTTTAATGTTTTTAAAGTCTGAAAATGTTAAATATTTTCATAGATTAAATGTATTTTGTTTTTATATTTTTGATTTTAAAATAACAAAATACATTCAAGTTCTTAATATTATTCTAGATTTTATTTTCACAAAACTAAACTAAAATTTCTTTTTTCTTTCAAATAGAAATTATTTATTTTAAATCCAGTTGTATCATTTACCACTTTTTAACTTTTTAGTTGTAAACACTTAATAAATGCTAAGAAATTCTAAACACTGATAGTTCTTTTAATTTGTGTACACACTGTTAATTAATCAGTCAACACTTTGTGTTTTAGATTCTTTTGTGATTGCGGAGCTGGTACGCTAAATAACCAATGTCAGTTACAAGGCGAACCTACGCAGGACACGGACACGCTGTACGACTCAGCGGCGCCCATTGAATCGCATACGTTAATGGTGAATTAAAAGAAAATATATATTTAATAAAATTATAATAAAAATCCGAACGATTTATTATAGAATTTTTATAATAATTTTTTAGTCGACTGGTAAAATATTTTTTTATTGTTGGTTAATAACTCTATTTTCTACAGTTAGCCTGTATATTACCTCGAGTATATTAATAATAATAATTAATAGTTATATATTAATTCTTCATTCCTCTTGTGTCGTTCTACTTAAAAAAAATTATATATATATATATTTGTACGACCTCATCTGATACATCACTGTGATTTATTATAACCCATCACATATGTTTAAAAGAATAATTATATTAATAGTTCATAATTGATTGAACGAAATATTTTTTTCACTCTAATCAGTATACCTGTTAAATTTATTATACATACCTACCATTAGGTTTAAAACTAATATATTATGGTATATTAAAAAAAAAAAAAAAACCAAGTCTGTCGATAAAACTAACCAAAATAGGATTTAATTTATGTGTAATATTGTTCTTCGTATTTTATTATTATTTTTCTTTTTTTTTTTTTTTTTAGTATTTTTTGTAAAATAATATTATTATGTTTAATTTATTAATTATGATTAGTGTGCGTACTTTTTATAAATTGTGCAATATATTTATTAAAATAATTTTTTTTTATATATGAATTATTTAATATTTTTTTTCACTAGACAAATTATTGTGTATTTTTTTTTTTTTTAGTTAAGAACATGTTTTTGTGTATAAATTATTTCCATTTATGCTTAAATTAATTAATTGTAATCGGGAAATAGAATGAGCGCTCTATGTCATTTGTGCGTGCAATTTTTCTAGCTACGTTTGCAACTCAACATCAAAAATAATTTTGTAAATAGAGTTTAATTAATTGGAAATATTTTTATTTGTTAATTTATAATAATTTTTTTTTTGTTTTAGACTAAAAAAAAAAATGTTCATTTCACAGTATTCTTTTCTATAATATAATAATATTCGACTATAATTTATTATAATAATTTATAAACAAACAGCACTCGACGGAAAAAAGAAAGAAAAAACGTTACCAATATTTTCTTTAAAAATGCATGTAACATTTGTTTTCTGTCTTTTCATTGCTCAAAAAATAAAATAATTAGGAATGATAGAGCACTACTTACATTAAACGATAATTATTAACAGGCTCCGTGTGCAATTTTTTCTTTTTTTTTAGTGTTTAGTGTTTTTACCGTGTTCGAAACGTTTTATTGTAACACATTTATAATATTCAACGTGGATTTTGTAAATAATTTTGTTTTTTCTTTTTTTTTACGCTGTGTTGTGCCATAAAAAAAAAAAAAAATGACAATTTTGTACAGGATACACTCATAAAACAAAAAACTCTCGAAACAAGTTTTTAATTCGCTGTTTTTTTTTTTTTTAATTATTTTCGTAATTATATTTTATTATTATATATTTTTTTTTTTCTATATACACTTTCAAACGTATTTAAGGTTGTGATTTAATTTTTCGATTTAAAGTATTATAACGATATTAATAAAAACTAGTTTGAAACTGATATAATATTATTTCTGGGTTTTCTAAATGCGTGCTCTGTGTAAGCATTATGTTTTTATGTTCTTATTTGACATTTATACAGAAAAAAAAAAAAAAAAACAAACAAACAAACAAACTTACAATGATTATTTAAATATTTACTTGAAATTTCCTATAAATTTATATGTTACACAATATTTATGTGTAGCCCAATAGTGTGAGTTTTAACGGATTTTTAACATATACAATATCCTAAAAATGTGACCTGTTCTGTAATTTTATTCTAAACATTTATAGAAAAAAAAAAAACAAACAAACAAACAAACTTACAATGATTATTTAAATATTTACTCACTATACACAGACATTTTTGATGGTTTGAAATTTTGCATCTTGAAACTTCAAATATTTTATCACTGCATATTATATTATTAGCTATGTAAGATCAGTCATCACTATTAATATAATATGTAGGTATGTGCCATAACAGTTTTAGAGAAATATACTGCATGTGCCAGATAAAGAAAAAAAAAGCAGTTTTAGCGGCTAAATGATTAAATGACCTTTAACGATTACAAAGCTATGTAAAAAAAAAAAAAGAAAAATCATGTGATAGGAAGGAATGATGATTACGCCGCTAAACATCAAAGTTCTGGGCACATATAGTATTAAAAATACGAGTATTGGTACAAACAAAGGCAATTTATAAAATAAAACTTGAGAGTTTCATTAATGATTCCATAAATACTCAGGCGTTTATTTTAAAATTGTATTAATTAATTTTAATATAATAATATCTAATATTAATTGGGATAGGTAATAATAATAAACTCGATATAATATCTAATTAATAATAATATTATCTAAATGTATGTTATTATTTAATAATTTTGTTTAACTTAATCATTACACTCTAATGAACACTTTTGAAAACACTTAATCGTATTATAATAATTATTAATTAACATAGTATAATATAATATACGCGTATAAATTTGAAAAAAAAAAAAAACATAATGAAATTCAACAACGATAGGTAAGTAAACTCGTGTAATAATAATACAAATTATTATTAATATTCGACAATAATTTATTTTAATGATTGCTCCAACGTTGGTGTCGTTTATTGAGTTTAACTTACGAAATATAATAACATAGTATACTAATATAAACTCGACTAGGTTCTATGCTTTTGCATATCTATATCAATAATTGTATTAGTTCTACTGATCGTGTCGGCAAAATCAGCTGACAAAAGAGGGTCCGAATTAAGGGGGCTAAAGAAGGGGCCCACAAAGACCGTATTATGAGCTGAATCAAATATTTGATGAATTTTTTTCGCCCATTTATTCCATTTTAATAGGATAAGTCTCTTTATTAATATGACCCCCGGGGCCCCCACAAACCCTGTTCCGCAGGTCTGGACAAACGGATACCATCGGTTTGACAAAAAAAAATCACGAATGTGATGTGCGTGTGCACTGGTCGGGGGAGGAATGAGGCGGTTGAGTTTTGATTGGTATTTTGAATACCGGTTTTGTGTTTTGTCCTTCCCGACGACCGTTTGGCTTATTAACATTATAATAATAATATTATGAGGAACAATAATAATAATAATAATAATAATATTAACATGTTTTCCGTATGCCCTTTTCGAATTTTCAAACGCCTTCCTACCTTTGTGCTACATTATAAAAGACGGACGTAACAATATTACGAATACTATATACAATTATTAATTTAGCCATTTAGGTAGGTAGCAACGGGCGCCAGTGGCGTAGCCAGGAATTTTTTTTTAAGGGGGTGTGTTTTTATTTTTCGCTTAGATGCATCTATAACTTTATTACGCGCGTACCTATAACAGAAGTAGGTACATAGCATATTATACTTAATAAATAATAATTACCTATCTATGCGCAACACAGCACATCTCGTAGAAATCCGACGCATAACTGCACATAGAAAAAATTATAATTTTCGCCATAAGTATGGTCAAAGGGGGAGGGGTGTGTTTGAACACCAAAAGACCCCCTCTCCCCACTCACTACGCCGCTGGCGGGTTCCTATACCGTAATAATAATAATTGTATTATCGCGATAAAACGGCCCGACGAAATTCGTTTTGATTTTTCGCAGTCGTGCGCGTTTATAACAACAAAACTATCATACGTGGGCACGTAGGAGGCATTGCGAAGGTATTAATATTATCATAACAATAAGTTTGCAGACGAAAGTGTCAAAAAAACTCTATCGTGTTCGTTTTATTTTTTTTTCGTTTCGACTAACATGCGTACAAATAAAAAACTAGGTGTATACCTCTACACAATATAGAGAATTTCCCAACTAAAGTATGTAAAATCGTCGCCTACAACACCGTTTCCCGCGGCGCACTCTTCGATTCCGTGCAGTATATACTATACGTTATAATATATTATGTTTGACGGAAAACGCTTTAATATGGTAATATGACGAAAAAAAAAAAATTACAAAAAAAACCATATTATGTCAAGTTGCTGTATCCGTCCGTGCAATTCGGGAGTAACGGTTCTTTGTTCAACGGTACCAAAACGTCTTCGACCGGTTTCATTCCGTCTTCTTTCCATTCATCTCTGACCTGTACAGAACAACGACATTTCAACGCGTTCTATTATTATGTACAACAAATTTCAAGATGTGGTGTTGAAGAAGAATGACGGTCGGACAGAACGCGTAGAACAAACGACACTATGCGACAGTGTAGGTATAATAGGTACTAAGCGAAGTAAATGAAACCAGAAATACGTACCATCAGTATATATAGGTACGTTTAATTCAAAAAACGGATTACGATTTGTCATATTCTGAGTCACGGAGATGAGTTACTAAATTTATAATGGAAGAGGTGATGAATGGCAAAAGAAACCGAGGGTGATAGGTATAGAGAAGAGTGGAGGGAATATGGAAAATCGTAAAACCAACCTTATTAGGGTTGAATACCAGAAACAAGAAAAATACAAAGTCTGTAATTATCATTAATAATATTCACCTTTTCAACTCTGGAAAACACTCGTAGTAAATTGTTGCCAGCCAGCTTTTTAATTTGATTCTCGGTCCACGAATGGTTGGCCATCAGCGACGTCAATAGCTGAGGATACCGCGACACGTCTTCTAGTCCCCGTGTAGTGCTGTAACCGTTACAATTGTTTTTTTAGCGTTTATTTTTTTTCTGTTATGTGTATTTTGTTTAAAATTATTTATTGTATCTGGGAATAAAGTTTTAATCAAAAAACTTACCTACTTTTATGCGCGATGTTTAAGTATATACTAAAAGGTTATGGGCTAGTCTGACATTTTTATTTATCGTGAAAAAAGCTTTTAACAATATCGTGAACGAATTAAATGATGAAAGACGTATTTTTCACATCAATTGTAATAACGTACAATAATATAACATTTTTTTTTTTTTTGCGGGAGGAAGTGAAATAATTTCCTTGTAAAAAAAAGTTTTTTTTTAAAAATAAACATACCTATACATCGAATATTGTATATTATATGTAAAAAAGAGACAATAATAGAGATCTAACACCCCTTGTATACTTGTGTACGCTTTTGATATATAGTTAGGTAAAGGTGCGAAAAATGTATTTTTATAAATTGTCTCAATATTAGGTAATGGAAAGGGTAAAGGTGTTAAATTCTATTAAAATAACTATTCACATCAGTGAATCTTATCGTATCATATCCTATCATCTTATTGAGTTCAATATTTAAAACGTAGTCGTACTATTGTTAGTAATGATACAATAATTGTACTCACTGATTGATTCCGTCGTAACCGGCACCTAGTCCCACGTGGTCTTCTCCGGCTACGTTTTTAATATGGTTAATATGAGCTGAAACCGAAAATAATAATCACACAAACAAGTTTTGATTAAAATTGACTAGTTTTACGTACCAATGACTTGTTCCATAGTTGATGTAGAATTACAGCTTATAAAATAAGAATAGAAGCTCACCATGACTATACCGTCGTTTGAGGCCTGAATTGGAAAATTTTAATTTTTTAAAAAATATAACAGTTTACAGGTTGGTCTGCAGGCACAGACGCACAGATATTTGATAATCGGTCAAAAAGTCTGGGGACAATAGGTTCATGGACAAAAAGTCCGTTTTGAAAAAGTTAGACAAAAAGTCCGGACTCATTTGTTTTTATTGTCGGACAAAAAGACCGTGCACATTTTTGTTGTCAGACAAAAAGACCGTGCACATTTTTGTTGTCAGACAAAAAATCCGAAAAATCCGAAAAATAATTTTCTTATTATTATCATTTTTATACACGATTTAAATAAATCTACATCAAATAAATCAATTATTATTTAACTATATTTATTTCATTAAGAAAATCAAAAAATTGCTTTTAATGGATATTCATAAACCTACGGGTTATCATTAACTTGTTTCGTATATTCGGTGGAAATGTTCAAATAAATTTCTGTCTATTTTGGTAACTTCCAATGGTAAGATGAAAGTTGTTATTATTTTTATTATTGTAGAATGTATAAACGTGCTCGGACTTTTTGTCCATAAATATAAAAATGAGTCCGAACTTTTTGTCAAACTTTTTTTCAAAACGGAATTTTTATCCTTGGACCTTTTGTCCTCTGACTTTTCGTCCGAGATTCCAGATATTTACACGTACTAAGTGTAGTAGTTATTATTAGTACACTTAGTATGTGTACTCAGGGGCGGACTGGTCCGGATGGTCTGCCGGCAATTGCCGGTTGGCCCGTTTATTGTATTGAGGGTTAATGGCCTCAGTTAGGTATTGCGATTTTGTTGGTTTTAAAATTTAGTTGTTAATTTTAAAACATAATTGACATAATGTTCTATGAGATTTTATTTTAATAATATCGAATATTCATTATCTGAACAAAATCTAAGCGTTATCTTATTCCAAAAATAAACGAAAATAAAAGATAATGGCTTGTTCACAAATAGTTGTCAATTATACTGTAACACCAATTATGGGTTCTATTTAAATCCGCGTTAGCAGCGGACACCTCAGTTTATCATCGGCAATCGGTAGAGGCTAACGAATTGTTGCAAAAAGTATACTATTGTTCAGTTTTGTAAAAAATAATTTTCAAATTGTATTTTAATACAGATCATCCATTCATCCATTCAGAAAGTATTTGAAATACATTTAAAATAATTTTAAGAACAAATATAAATACTTAGTATGTATTTAAATAATTCTTAAATACTTTTTTGAAATGTCTAAAATAAAATTCA